CCTCCCTGGCCCCTGTTGTGCCTCTGATTAGTTGGCTTGGCAACGGCAGGGCAGCAGACGGCTTCTCCTTGCACCCAGCATCTTCCTCTCCTGGCTGCTCAGTGCCTTGCACCAACCTGGCCAGATCAGAAAGTATGCAACCTTGGGGGCCAGGCCACAGCCCTGGTATACCTCTTTCTCTGCCGTGCCTTCCCCCAGCAATGGGTTGTCCCCCTGGCTGAGGCTGGCACACATCCCGTGATGTCTGCTTGAGTTGGCCTGGCTGAGTGGCTGAGCTAATCTGGGTTGACAGTCCCTCTCTGCAGAGCACCTTGGGCCCGGGGAGGAAATGCCTACTAGGAAGTGAAACTCCCTCTTGCCATCTTCTCCGTGGCCACCAAGGGACCTCTCAGGTCCTCTTGCAGCTGAGGGCCTGCTCTGGGGCCTCCATCTCTTAGGGTTGGGATGGAGCTGTTGTATTCATTTCTCTGCCTGGCACTTGCCATTATGGTATCAGTTTTGATATCATCTAGATCATCTACCCTGATGCTACTCACATCACATTCCTAGATCAGACCCCTCTCTCCTGAACCCCGCACTCTGACCCCAAATTAAGCAACTCTATGAGGATGGACAGTCTGGGGTCCCAAACTCCACATCCAGATGGATTCCTGTCTCCAGTGACGGCTGCTGTGTGACCCCAAACCAAGCTATCCCTGATGATTTCCTTCCTCCCACGTCCTATCCTCACCTCCCGATCCCGCCTTCCCAGCATCTCCAGGATCCTCCCTGTGCCTCCACACCACTCCATGTCATCTGCTTCCGGCCCTGCCTCCCTTTAGTTTATCACAATGGCGGGTAAGCAATGGCCAGGCGGGGCCAGGCGGGGCACACAGGGGCAGATGGACTAGATGCCCGGGAGGAAGTACTGACAAGCCACGAAGGGGGCCTAGAGTGGCAGGGCAACCTCAACAGTTAGATTCATTATATGACCACCATTGCCCTCCCGGTCACAGAGCCCATGAGCCTGTCCTCCATAACTACGTAGGCTCATGGAATGGAGGGGCTTTGTACAGGCTCCAGAGTGCTGTTTCCCAATGGCCTCTTGCTTTTCTGGTCCCTATTTCAAACCCTGAAGTCTCTCTCCTGACCCTGACTGGCAGCCCTATCCCTTTCCTGGTTCACCCATCTTCATAGTTAGTGCCACTGGACAAACGGACACATCCATCCATCCAAGACTCATCAGGCTTGCCTGTTCTCATGGGTGCTTCACCGGGCAGGGAACTTTGTCTGTTCTTTATTCCAGTTTCATTTCATTATTTTAATTAATTAATTGAGTTTTGAGACAGGGTTTTCCTCTGTAGCTCAGGCTGGCCTCAAACTTGAGGCAGTCTTCTCCCTCGTCTACCCTAAGTGGAGGAATTATAAATACTCTTCACCATATCTGACCTTATCTGGTTTGATTTTTAAGCTAATGAGTCCCTGGGGTTCAGAGCACTGTGTGCTGGCGGCAGTAGCTGCAGAGGGGAACATCTCTTCACCTAACACTCCTTTAAAAATTCTACTTGTTTCTTTTGTCTGTATGGGTGTTTTGCCTGCATATGTGTTTGTATACCATGTGTGTGCCAGATGCCTAGAAAGGCCAGAAGTGGGTATCAGATCCTCTGGAACTGGAGTTACAGATGTTTGTGAGCTACTATGTGGGTGCTGGGAACCAGAGCAGGTATTTTGGAAGAGCAGTCTGTCTTCTTAACTGCTGAGTCACCTCTCCAGCCCCCACCCCTAAGGCTTTCATTCTTTAAGCTGCTGTCTCCCTTACATAGAGCTGTTGCTCCGGGCAGGACCCGGGAAGGACTGGGAAATGTGAGCCTTGCTTGCAGACTTGCCTAATTTCAGAAGCCAGATTCAGAATGGTGGCTCTCTGGATCTGCAGAAGACCCCCCAGGGCCGTAAGTGCTGTGACTGAGGGAGAATGGGCTCAGGTCAGACACCAACGCATTCCCAGGGACCAGAAGAGGAGACCCTAGAACAGAGAAACACTAGAAGAGAGAGATACCCTTCTGACTGCACTGCCAGGAGGGAAGCAGGAAGCTGGGGTCTGCAGAGGATACAGTGGCACAGGCCAGGCCGGACTCCAGGACTGGACCCAAGGCCTCCTGATAGGAACTTTTGGAATAGGCTATGGGCTAAGTTCAAGAAGAAGAAGGAGAAGGAGAAGAAAGAGGAGGAGGAGAAAGAGGAGGAGGTGTGTGTGTGTGTGTGTGTGTGTGTGTGTGTGTGTATACATGCACTCTTGAATCGAATACATGTGTGCACATGGGAACTGCATGAGGCTGCCATGGCCGTTGTGGCCCCAAGAAGGCTATGTCTTTCTACTCAGCCAGGACTAGAATCTAGACCTCTTCAGTTGGTCTGTACTGGGTGCCATCAGGGGTGGGTTGGCATCAGATGTCCTGTGTCCTCTGTCCCTTCTTGGCTGGGGAACAGGCTCTTAGCTACACTCTTGGGTCTGTTGAAAGCCCGTCTCCATCAAGGGATTCCTGGTTCCTGACTTAAGCTGAAGACCCCCAAAGTAAGCCCAGGCTCAGAGAGGGAGAGTGTGATTGGGGACAGTGGTGCCAGAGGATGGGCACTTTTGACCAGGTGTGGTGAGAACCCAGGAAGGCTGCCTGGAGGATGAGAAAGAGCATGAAGAGAGAGAAGTCTGAAGGTGGCTCTTTTTCCCAAGTGTCTACCCTCCTCTCTACCCCCCTCTTCCATGTCTTCTCTCCCATGTCTTCCCTTCTCTGTTCTCCACTCCTATGCCTCTTCTTACTTCCTCTTCCTCCTGTGCCTAGACCAGGGTACTGGAGGAAGAGTGTTAGCATCCTACCTATCTTGGCTATTTACTATGCCAGCTATGTAAAAGAAGGCTTAGCCAGGCTCCTGGGGGCCTTGCCTGACTCCTAATCCTGTGGTCCCAATTCCCTGGGCAGCTAGGGATGAATTCAATTTGTGCTAAGTTCCTAATTACCTAATTACACCTTGGCTCTGTGGCCCCGGGACTCCCCAGGCCCCAGGGAGGAACCCTGTGAGAGTATCTGCGCCCCTGGGCAGAGGGAAACAGAGGGAAAGGGCTGTTGTTCAGGGAAAGTAACTGGCAGCTCGGATTTCAATATCCTGGAGAACAAGGGAAATGTAATTAATTGAGCAACAAAGGCCACCCTTGGGAGCAGCCAGGAGCAGCCAGGCTGGCGGTGCGCTAGTTAGTGAGTCGCGTGTGGAGAGGAGTCTGTGGCCTCCTCAAGGTATTCTGGTTCAGCCTTCTCTCCACCCACTGCCTCTGCGTGGACTCTGGGACTGCCCTTCTCAGAGCCAAGAACCCCTCAAGGGCTGTGCCTGCTTGGAGATCTGCTGGTGATAGTGTCATAGGCATCCCATCCCAACTCCTTAGACTCCCCTACAGCAAGCCCGGGCCCATCTCCAGGCAGCCATGCATGCTCCCAGGCCATACTTCCCCTCAGCCCCTCTGGCAGATTCTTTACACCCCGTGGGGCCCAGCTCCACCTCACTCTCCCCACACATTTGTCCTTGGCAATCATTCTTTTGCTCAACACTGCAGTCTCTGGCCCCTGCTGCTGGGCTGTGAGCTCTGAGGGGAATTCTCAGCATAATACTGGCAATCTACTGCATGATGAATGAATGCTTGCATGCATGCATACATGAATGAATGATTGCATCCCCAGAAAGACTTGCAGTTGGCTAACTTAAGTCCTTTGGTCCATTTGGGGGAGCAGGTGGTGGCCTGTTTTGTTTCTTTGCCTCCCCCAATGCATACCCCTTGTTCCCATGTTGGGAGGGTGGATATATAGCAATGGGGTGCTGAGCTCTGGCCCTGGCTGTTCTGAGTTGGATGACGCAGCCTATCAGGGAGCCCCGTTGCTTTTCCTGAGAGGACGTTGACCTAGTTTTGTGGGGAGGGAAGATGGGGGTGGACATTAATTATTGATCGGAAATCACTCCATGCTGAGTTTGTGATGCAAATCCATGATAATTATCCTCATTAATAACCACCTCAGTACCGTACTGGGATAAATCAAAATCCAACAGGACCAACTCTCCTTGTCACCATCCTTCACTCCTCCCCTCTCCAATCTTCCACTCTTTTCCAGTCTTATACATGAGCAGGCATCCAACGAACATAGACGAAGCTTATCTTCTGGGTTAGACCCTTCTGGTTTTGGGGGAATATTGAGGTGACTCAGACACAGACCCTGTTCCCCAGGAACTTACAGACCAGTAGACAGGACAGGAAGGTATACAGAGGAGTATTTATTAGGGTTAGATGTTGATGCAAACGGGACCTCTTAGGGTTGCACAGCATACAAATTGTAGCTGTGCAAAGTAGCCCAGGCTAGGAGCTGCTGAGACTGCCTGGAACGGGGGGGGGGGTTGTGAATGCTGGGGTGAGAAAAGGTCGGGACAGCTCTACAGAACAAAGTTTCACAGGGCTGTGGCAGGCGAATATGAGGTTGTTAGAGCGTTTCAAGAAGAGCAAGCAGCATAGGCAAAAGGACTGGCCATAGAAAGAGGCTTAGATTCGGTATCAGGCAACAGTTTGACTTCGTATTCTTTTGCTGCTCAGCCGGGGGACTCTGGGTAAACAGCTCCAGTTGGTTCTTTGAATCTCCTTTCTGAAGCAGAGACAACATTGCCAGCTCCAAGGGGTTACTGTGAATGCTGGAGGAGAGACTATTTGTGCTTGTCCTCAGGAAAGCACTCAGCACCTAAAAAAAAAAAAAAAAAAGAGCTCCAAAGATGTCTGTTCCTTCACCCATGATCTTCTGGAAGTGCAGCAGGGCCCAGAGCCATTTTCCTGGCTTTGTAGGCATAGGGGTAGACAGGGAAGAGAGAGGCCTTCTGGAAGATCCCAACAGGCTTGCAGCAGGAGCCTCCATCTCTCCTCCAGCCACCCCTCGGTTTCTTGAGCTGTCTGTCTTTTTGCTTCTCTGATGCCACCTCCTCCACCCTTCCTCTCCCAGGCATGCGGATCCTGGTGAACCTGTTGCTTGACACACTGCCCATGCTGGGAAATGTGCTCCTGCTCTGTTTCTTCGTCTTCTTCATCTTCGGCATCATTGGCGTGCAGCTCTGGGCAGGCCTGCTGCGGAACCGCTGCTTCCTGGAGGAGAACTTCACCATGTGAGTGCCCCCCCTCCCCATCGTAATTAGGCTTTCTATTGCTTTGGTAAAAACACTGGGACCAGAAGATCCTGGGTGGGGGGAGGTGGAAAGGGTTTATTTCCTATTACAGCTTGTCATTCATTATCTAGGGAAGTCAGGACTGGGACTCAAGCAGGGCAGGAACCTGGAGGCAGGAGCTGATGCGGAGGCCAGGGAGGGGTGCTGCTTACTGGCTTGCTCCCCATGGCTTGCTCTGACTGGTTCTTATAGAACCCAGGACCACCATCCCAGGGGTGGCACCGTTCACAGTTATCTGCTTCCTCCCACAACAATCATCAATAGAAAATGCCCTACAGATTTGCCTACAGGCCGATCCAAGGAAAGCACTTTCTCAATTAAGATTCCCCGTTCTCCGTAGAACCTAGTTTGTGTCAAAGTGACATAAAAAACCTACTCTGTTCCCACTGACTATGACCTGCCTCTTACTAAATCATTTACTAACTGAGAATTGGGCCAACAAAGTAGGAACAGCCAATGTGGGAAAGCTGGATAGGAGGAGAGAGGGAGGTCTGGACATTAGAAGAACAGAAAGTTCCAGAACCTAGGAAGGTGTGTGTGTATGTGTGTGTGTGTGTGTGTGTGTGTGTGTGTGTGTGTGTGCCATTGTGAGATCAGCTCACAACCTGCTGCTGGGTCTAGAGGGGGAGCCAGGCGCCCCTCAAGGCAGAATGTCAATAGCTGCTTAAAAGATGGGTTTGGTTTCTGAAAATGATGTCTTTGGAGTCCCTTCCTCCCAAGTGGTTCGTGCACACACACTGTGTGTCTGGAAGTCAGGGTGCTTCAGCTTCCAGTGTCCACCAGCCATGGGGCTGCTGCTGTGTGCCAGGCCCCACAGAGGCTGAAACAGAATAGTGATCACGTCTGTTTTAACCTGGCAGATGTACCTAGGGTCCGCCCTTTGTTGAGCTAGGGCATCCACGGGGACGAAGGCTAGAGTTGGTCTCCAAGGCTGACTGTCTCTTCTGGATGTCATGGTGTGGGGACACTGCATGTGTCAGCATGAGCCTCCCTTTTCAGGGTTTGGAACACTGGGGACAATGTGGTGTAGCGAGGGCTGAAGGTTGGGTAGGGACTGGCCTGCCTGCCCATTGCCGGGGTGTGGAGAGCAGTGGGGTACCTGAGTAGGCCAGAGAAGAGCCACCTTGTTGGGCGAGGGCCCCACGGAGAGTGAGAGAGGGGCTGGTACACTTGTGTGAATGCTCAGCAGAGGCGAGTCCTGAGTAGTCAGGGGCCGGAAGAGGGGAAGACCTTCAGGGAGCAGAATGTTGTGTGAGCTGCTGGTATTGGGGGTTCAGCGTGCATCCGTGCCCGCTCTGTTCCATGTGGTTCTTTCTTGTATCACTCTGTGGCTGGTCCTGTCTCACTATCAAGCTCAGCCCTCATGGCACCTTCTGCTGGAGGATTGCTGCCTCTTCCCCAAGCAGCGAGCACACTATTAGCTAAACTTCCTTGTTGGCCCATCTTCTCTTGCAGAAATCCCATTTGTCAGCTTGAGTATTCGGGGGTCTCTGGAGCAGTGAATACTTGGCCTTGGGACACCCTAGGATGTGGGTTCTCCCCTAGACCAGTTCCTCACTCTTTTTTCAGGACCTGCAACAGGTCCTGTTCACTATGAATGAATGAATGAATGAGAGAGAATGAATGAATGAGGGGCTAATTAAGATGCGGATAACAGCATGAATGAGATCATGAAAGAATGAATGAATGAATGAGCGGGAGAGTGAATGAGTGAATGCCAATACTGCACAGAATCAGGTTGAGAATAAGACTGCTTCTCCTTGGCTCTGCAGCCAGAGAGTCTATGTGCTGGTTCCTGGTGGCTGTTTTCATGTCCTATGCAGGCCCTGAGGGTGTCTGTAGCCCTGCTTGGCTATGAGGAGGGGAGCAGGGGGCACAGTTCTGTGGACATGCCCGGACCTCAGTGTTAAAAAGGGCCAGGGTGTAGCTGGCCCACTTGGAAGAGGAATTCCAAATGTGAAAGGAGCAAAAGACAAGACATAGCTGGCAAGGCTGGGTGACTTTCCCGAGCTCCCAGTCACATGCTTACAGGGCGGGTGGCCTTGGCTTACAGGCCCCACTGGGATAGAGGATGACCATTTTTCAGGAAGAGGAGGCTGGTAAATTACAGGCTTGAGCAGAAAGCGAGGCCAAACTTATCCCTGTAGAGGGAGGCAGGGTCAGAGCTCAACTCAAAAGACCCAGCTCACGCAAGATGCAGAACAGCCTCTGGACGGCTTGCAAAGTAGGTCTTTCCTGGGGCTCAGACAGATGGACTCTGAAGAGACCCCAGTTCAGGATCTGGCGAGCCAGGCCTGGCCTTATACAGGAGCCACAGGCGCCCAGTGGGGGGAGTCCCCTTTTCCTCTTGGCTTGTATTCCCACCAGCTCGTTGTTTGGAGACTTCACACCTCTAGCCCCAGGCCAGCCGTTCCGTGAACAGGCTGGTAGAGCAAGACCCTTCCTAGATGGAACCCATGGGTGGGTGCTGGACCCTCCAGAGACCTCGTAACAATGCAGACAGGAAACAAGGCCTAGAGAGGGAAAGGATGCACTCAAGATCACACAGCAAGGTTCCTTTCTGGCTGTAGGGGTCTCAGAGCATGGATATCACAACAAACATTTGCCTGCCACTTCCAGAGAAAGCCCTGCGCTGTTCCTTGGTCTTGACCAAGAAGATCAGGGAGCTAAATGTGTACTGGGAGTTAGGGTGTTGGACTGAGAAGAGAGGGCTTCTGGGATGTCTATAGATGCAACTTTGACCTGAACTTGAAAGGTCAAGAATGATGTTTGCTGAATCATGGGTGGGAGTTGAGGTGGGAGTTAATTTGCTTTTGTTTGGTTGGTTTTGTTCTTTTCGAGACAGTGTTTCTATATGTAGACCTAGTTGTCCTGGAACTCAGACTGGAGCTGTAGACCAGGCTGGCCTTGAACTCACAGAGATCCTTCTGCCTCTGCCTCCTGAGTGCTGGGATTAAAGGCAGCCTCCTGCTGCTGCCATTTAGGTGGGGGCTGGGGCAATGGAGTCGATTTTAGGGTCTAATTCTGCCTCTGCCACTTGCTAGCCGTGTGACCTCAGCAACTTTGTGCCTCAGTTTCCCTACTACAGAGTTGTTTTGAGAATGACCCAAATCAGAACGTGTAGAACCTTAGGACAGTGCCTGACCCCAGGAAGCACGGAGCAGGAGTGAGTCATTGTGCAACGCCATTGTGTGTTCTACCTGTCCGTCTCTAAACTCCTGGCGGGAGGGAGTGCCGCTGTTCCTTTAATTGGGATGGCGCTGAAATGGCACCTGGAATCGTGGGGTTGTGTGAGCTCACCTCAGTCTGGGGCGGCAGCTGAGGCATGGAAGCCTTTAATAAATGCACACTGAGCGGCAGAGTGAGGCTGAGTCTGGTCCTGGAGAAAGACAGCTGGTATTCACAGTGTGCTCAGTACATGCGGGGCACTGTGCTCAGCAGGGCCAGTTCAGTTGCCTTCCCAGCATCTTGTGGGGGGAGCATTAGCCTTACTTTCTGGTTAGTGGAAATGTGTATGTGTGCCGCTGTATACGTGTGTGCATGTGCAGAGGCCAGAGGCCAATGTTTGGGAGGGGAGTCTTCTTTGATTGCTCTTTACTTTATATATATATAAAATATACATTTTTTTTTTTTGGATGGGATTCTCACTGACACTGGAACTAATCAGTTTGGCTAGACAGGCTGGCCAACAGGCTCCAGGAACCCTCATGTCTTTGTCTCCCCAGTGCTAGAGTTATAGACACATAGCATCATGACCAATTAGTTTTGTGGGTGCTGGGGAATCTGAACTAAGGTCCTTACTCAAGACAAGCATGTTACCAATTAAGGCTGGCATCAGTAGAGCCCTGGGGAACCCCAGGAGAGGGGTTCAGAAATACTACAGTGGCATGAGGGTTGGGTTGCCCGTGTTATAGGCTGATCATCTGAATTGGTGTCTGGGTACAAAGCTGGCCTCTGGCACAGCTGCCCCAGGGTTTCTGAGTACATGGAGTGGGGCTGGCAGAGGAACACCAGAGGGAAGGCTGGCAGGAGGGTCTTCAGGAATGGCAGACGTGGTCAGCTCAACATCCCTCAGTGCTGGCCCCTGCCTCCCAGATCTCCTGAGCTCTCCATCCTTCACGGAGCCGCCTCCCACCTGGGCTGATGTCCACAGTGAGCTGGAAACCTCAAAGCGTTGTGTCACTTTAAGACGGCTAGGTTTGCAGGAGTGATGAAGTCTGAAAAAGAACAGTTTGAAACAAAAACTTTGCAATACATGCATCCACTGGAGGAGACCCCAAATCTAGAACATATCAAGAGTGACTTGACCAAAAGCTGATAAGAAACGTCCAAAAGACCTTACCAGAGACCTCTCCAGGGGAACAGGAGTGGCGGATAAGTATTTGAAAAGGCTCTTCTCCTTCCAGGTCTTAGGGGAGTTGTAACTGAAATGGCACTGGGGGTACCGTAGTGCCCTAACAGGATAGTTAAAATGAGAAGGACCTGCATATCGCCACAGACACAGAACAGGCGGCGTTCCTCTGTGCTCGGGGAGGTCTCATCAGATCTTCAGGATCCATTGTGGGGGGCTGGACAAACACACCCTCAGCTTGTCATGCGTACCCTGGGGTTTTTCTTCGAAGACAGACTTGTTGGATGGGGGGTGGGGGCGTGTAGCTCAGTTGGCAGAGCGTTCCCTTGGCACGCACGAGGTCCCTGGATTCAGTCTTCAGCCCTGCAGAGAGGAAAGCAAATCACAGCCATTGAACTGTGGCTGGGGCTGGTGGCTCACACCAGCAATCCCCGTGCTCAGGATGCTTCGGCAGAGAGGTGGCTGGAGGTCAGTGTGGGTTTTACTGCTCCCCATCATCCCACACACCCCATCCCCCACAGAAAAGAAGGGTGGTTTGTACCCACTCGAGCATGCAGGCAAGAGTAATTCTGAGTCATAAGGACCCCATACCCAGAAATGACCCAAATTGACAGATAGATAAATAATAGCCGTGTGCTTGCACACTCAGAGAACTCACTCATAGGTAGGTGCTCCAAGGAGTGGCTCTTTAAGTCCGCTAATGGTCGGCCCCCAATCCTGTTCAGCTGTACGATCTTTTTCTTTTTAAAGCATTGCTATTGAAAAAAATCTCAGAGCCCGAAGTCGGAAAAAAAAAAAAAAAAACATTCTCAAAAGGTTTCTGGCTTCATCTTTCTGTCTGGTCTATTCCATCACAAAGAACTTTGTGCGTGGTGTATGATGGGCAGAGTGACGTCAAGGTTGGTTTATAATGGGTAGCCAGTCTTCCCAGAACCACGAGTGGCGCAGTCCAGCCTTTCGGCAGGGGATCAGAGGGATGTCTTTATTGGAAGCAGGTGGTCGTGAGCCTTTGCCTGGTTGGTGGTGACATTTTGACTGTTAAAGGATGTTGATGAATTGTTATCCACATGGGCGGTGAGGTTTACTCTCCCACCATCAGTGCGAATGTCTGTTCACACTCCTTCTTCCCACACTGAGTTACAAAACCTCGAGGTGGCCTTCAGAGGAGGCAGCGTTGGTGTTATTTCTATTTGCTGTTTTTTGTTGTTGTTGTTTTTGTTTTATGAGATAGGAGCTCACTGTGTAGACCAGCCTGGCCTTGAACACAGAGACTTGCTGCCTCTTCCTCCTGAGTACTGACATTAAAGATGCAGCTGCCATCTCCCCTAAATGTGTTTGTTTTTTTTATTTGATTGAATTAAGTTGATTTTTTTTTTTTGACAAAGTATTTCCACACAGATAGACTGGCATGCACCTATACTCCTAGCACTCAGGAGGTAGAAGCTGCAGGATCTGGAGTTTAAGCTCATTGTTAGGTGTATAGAAAGTCCGAGGACAGCCTGGGCAACTTGAGACCTGTCTCAAGCCACCTGCCAACCAAGCAGACAAATCAGAGACAACATCTTGTTATTCAGTCCAGGCTGACCATGAACTTCAACACTTAGCCTAGGTTAGTCCGAAACAATCCTCCTGCCTCAGCCGCCTGAGTGCTTGGCTTATTGTTTGCCTTAAAACATAGGTCTGTCTTTATGTGTTGTGGTCCCCGCTGAGGGCTCTAGTCCTGTAAAACACCACACTAGGCTCATGACTACAGTCTCAGAGTCCTCTGCTGTAAGGCTAGTTTCTGCTCATCTCTTCACTTTTAAAACCTGCCTGGATGATTCCCCGTCCCCTTGAACCACCATCTAGATCAAATCACAATGGGATTTCATTTGTGATTGTGCGGTGGGCAGAGAAGAGCTTATGACCGACGGTCACAGATGAGGTAAGCTGTGTCCAGTGAGGGAAGAGACTGGTCCAGGGCCACACACTCCCCCAGGGAGCCCTGGCTTAGCTCTGTGAAGGGGAGGCTCCTCTAGGGAAGACTCCTCAGAGGAGAGAACCATGAAAAGGAGTCACTAGACCGGTGAGGACTTTTTTGATCATGACAGAAGTGGGAAACAGTGTCTCAGGAGGGGACTACACGGTCCTGGGCCTGGAGGTAGTGATGTGGCCTTGGGCCAATTCTGCCACAACATGGCTTCTCTTTGCCTAGTACAACTGGCAGTGATCCTCCGCCGCCACTCTTTGACGTGCCCTTTTCTGTGGCAGACAAGGGGACGTGGCCCTGCCCCCTTACTACCAGCCAGAGGAGGATGACGAGATGCCCTTTATCTGCTCCCTGTCGGGGGACAATGGCATCATGGGCTGCCATGAGATCCCCCCACTGAAGGAGCAGGGCCGGGAATGCTGCCTGTCCAAAGACGATGTGTATGACTTTGGGGCGGGGCGCCAAGACCTCAACGCCAGCGGCCTCTGCGTCAACTGGAACCGCTACTACAACGTCTGCCGCACGGGCAACGCCAATCCTCACAAGGGCGCCATCAACTTTGACAACATCGGCTACGCCTGGATTGTGATCTTCCAGGTGAGAGCATTCGGGCCTAGGGCTTGGAGGTCAGCTGGCAGTGGGTGGCATGGCTGGCGACCTCACTCAGCAGGTAAAGTCTTGAGCTTTGTCCCCTACTCTCTGAGTGACCAACACGCTGGAGGTACAGGCTTCAACCTGCTCACTCTGCAGGCAGCAAACCCAAGGTTCAGAGGAAGGAAACATGCCTGTTGGCCATGTGTGCGCTGACTAAATAGCATGTCAAGATTTCAGTCCCCCTGGGCTCACCTCAAAGCCTGTGCTCCTTACAGACACCCAGGTGGGCTGAGTCGTAGCAGGGAGTATTGCTTATTGAGGGCAGAGGCAGGGTGTGGTTCCGATGTAAGGGCTGGCTGAGCCAAAGCAAGGCCCCACCGGGATAAGGAAGGTCATTCCTGGAGGGGTGACGACTGAGGCCGGGTCTGGGTGGAGCCTGATTGGAGTGCATAGAGAAGGGAATGATCAGCTGACCCATGCCTCATTTCTGCCGGGAGCTCTGCCAACAGTGTACTGACGTGTTAGTGGGCTAAAGCCCAAGGCTTTCAGCTTCAACAGCTTGTGTCCCTACCCCCAGTGATGGGCAAGAGAGGACGGGAGTCCCTGCTCCCCTCCTGCCTGGCAGTGTGATGTTGGGCAAATGACACCGGCATCTCTTAGAACCTTGGTTTCCTCACCCATGCTGCCCGCTACCCCAGCCCTTGTCAGTATATGTCTTGAATGCTGGTGTGCAGGATGGCTTGTGCCTTAGACTCTGCCCCCGTCCTCATTCCTGCTGCAGGTGATCACTCTGGAAGGATGGGTGGAGATCATGTACTATGTGATGGATGCACATTCTTTCTACAACTTCATCTACTTCATCCTGCTCATCATAGTAAGTATCAGGGCGAGTTCAGGACCATGAACTATGGCATTGGTGGGGATAGGGAGGAGGGGAGGGGAGGGATGGACAGTCCCCAGGAAGCCCTCAAGGCTAGGGGAGCCTGGTAGGACAGGGGGCAGCTGGAGGAGTAGGCAATCTATCCCCAAAGGAGGGATATTTTTAAATGCAGTCAACCAGCTAGTGATTGAAAGGGCTTGTCAGGGCTGTGGCTGGGAGCATCCATCATGTCCCCTTGCCTTCACGTCTCATCTCTAGACTTTAACACCTACCCCGTTGATCCTGCTTGTCTCTCTCTGCTTGAATCTCTAGTAATACATTCTTTCATGGCCTTAGCTGGGGGTATGGTTCCATAATGGAGCTTCTCAGGGGTTCCATCTGGTTCCCATTTTTCCTGGGGCAGACAAGATGCTCTGACTGCCAGCATGGGGCTTGTTCCTTGGTAAGTAAGACACAGGGTAGGAGGCTGGCCTTGGTGGTGGCCTGGTGGAGCTCTGGGGAAGTCTTTGAGCTCTAGATTCTCTGCAGCTCTGTCTGTGATCAGGTGATGAGGGCAGGGTCTATCTGTCTCTGTAGGCCAGTACTTCCTGTCCTTGCTTTCTAATGTCCACCTTGCCCTGCTTGCTTGTGGCTTCTGCCTCGGCATAATCCATGGAGGTAAGGCTTCTGGGTGAGCTGTGTTCACTCCCCAGCATGAAGGCTGGGTTCTCTGGCTTCCTGGTGGTGGGTGAAGGCAAGCTTGGCTCCCGTGAGTAACACCCTGACTGAGGAGTCAGAGCAGGCTGGCTGCTGACTGGAGTCACACATGCTGTGATGTAGCTCTAGTGATTTCCAAGGGGACCCTGGGGCCTTGGGTTCAGGAGAAACCTCTGGATGAAAGGAAGAAGGGCCCAGATTTCATTTTGCATCACGGGCTGTTCATCCACTGTCCCCTGGAGGAAGACAGAAGACTCTGTCCTCTCCCACAGGAAGCCACAGACTCCTCACAGACTTTGTGAAATGGGTCAGTGGCAGTGATTAGTTCTGAGGTGATGAGGAGGGTTAGCTGGGACACAGCCAGGAGCTTGTATACCCTGCTGTCCAGTTAAGTGGCCGGTAAATGTGCCGTGATGTTATCGAGGGCCGCTTGAGTCCCAAGTGCCCCTGTCTCAGGACAGAGGATGCCATCAACAGGCTGGTGGGGTCTTTAGACTTCACACACTGTTCCCAATAGTTCTCTGATCAGAAAAGTCCTGCGCCTGCTTTGCTCCAGCCTCTGGCTTTACAGATGGGGAACAGAGGTCCAGAGAGGACAAGGCTGGCCTGGGTCACCCAGGGCAACCACTGTTGAACAAAGGCTAGGTAGGGGCCTTACAGGGGTGAGCAAACGGAGATCAGGGTCTTATCCCTCTGGTTCCTGTGTCCCTAGCCAGCTCAAGAGAGAGCAGCATTCTGGGAAATGCTAAGGATAAGATGGAGGCAGAGGACTGCTAGCTATCTTTTTGTTTAAGAAGCAGTCTGTTTCCCAGAGTCCTCTGGGTCAGGGAGCCATGTACCCCTTTAGCTCTTCAGTTGTATCTGATGGGGAGAGAGAGGAAAGAAGGATGAAGTAGTGACTGGGGCAGCCATCTGCATGTACCGTTTGGTGATATCCCAGAAGGCTAGAAGCCACATCTCCTGCCAGGCCAGAGGAGCTCATTCGGGGTTAGTGAGCACCAGGGGAGGTGACAGGTACTAGAATAGTTAGACGGGACATAGAGGGGCTACCTGGACCCATGTCTCCTTCCAAGCACACAACTGAAATCCAAGGCGGTGACTTGAGGATTATTGTGGCTTTTTCCTCTTGGCTTCAGCATCTCTGTCCTACATGAGTTGGTAGTGAGTCCAGGTCTTGGTGATGGGGCTTGGATGAAGTCACCTGGCTGTGTCTTTCTCTGCAAGGACTCAGTGATCTCTTCCTGTCCCGTCTGTGTATCTGTGTCTGTGTTTCTGCCTTTCTGGGTCCCTCCATCTTCCCTGCACCTCTGTCTATTTCTACCCCAACCCTGCATTTCCATGTGCTCAATTCTGCCCTCTCCCTCTCTGTCTCCCATCTCCATCTCCTCTTTTCTCTTCTTTTTTCTGTCCCCTCTCTTCTCCCTCTTCTTCTCCCTCTTCTTCTCCCCTTCCCCCCTCTCTATATATTATCTATATATTATCTCTATATATTTGACTCTCTGTGCCCTGGCTGTGCCTGTCTTGCTGTCTTGCGTCTTGCTTTCGGCTGTCTTCTTTCCTCTCTTCTGTGTCTCTGATCTGTCCTTTCCCCTCCCCACTTCCCCATTTCTGCTGTCTTTCTCTGGTCTCCCTCTCTGTTTCTTGCTCTTGCTAACTCTTTCTCCATCTCTCTGTCTCCTTCTCCTGTGTCCACCTCTCCTCCCCACTGGCTCTACCCCTCTCTCTACTTCTCTGTCCCCACTGTCCCTGTTCCTGTCCTTTCCTCCTGTTGGTCACAGGTGGGCTCCTTCTTCATGATCAACCTGTGCCTCGTTGTCATAGCGACCCAGTTCTCGGAGACCAAGCAACGGGAGCACCGGCTGATGCTGGAGCAGCGCCAGCGTTACCTGTCCTCCAGCACGGTGGCCAGTTACGCCGAGCCTGGCGACTGCTATGAGGAGATCTTCCAGTATGTCTGTCACATCCTTCGCAAGGCCAAGCGCCGTGCCCTGGGCCTCTACCAGGCTGTGCAGAACCGGCGCCAAGCCATGGGCCCGGGGACACCGGCCCCTGCCAAGCCTGGGCCCCACGCCAAGGAGCCTAGCCACTGCAGTAAGTGGCCTTGACTCTGTAGCTCATATGCCACAGTCTGGGGTCTCAGAATGGCGGCACTGCAAGTGGGTCAGTGCTTGATGAAACAAGAGGTGTCCACATCAGATGGAGGATCCCAAGAGTTCTTTTCAGGCTCTAGTGTTTCCTTTATGGCCAGTCCAAGACTCATCTACTCTACTCAACCCTGCCTTACTCTCTATCCAGCTCACTCTTGCCCTGTTTCCTCTCCTTGGAGAAATTCTTCCAAGTCTTGTGGGCTAACCTGGGTACCACTCCCTTGAACCTATACTTGAAAGTCAAGTGATTGGCTCACAGCCTTGCAAGACAAACCTCCTTCTTTGTGGCCACCCACATCACCTCCACTCTGGCTCCCATGGATGTTCCCTACTTACCAGCACACCCGAGCAATGACATCAGGCCCCTAGCACAGTGGGCAGTGCATGTCATGGCACATTGGGACCTTCATCCCCATGCTGTGCTCCTGCCTCATGCTCGAGTGGTTCCAGTCTGTTTGTGTGGGTCTGGTGTTTAGCTTAGAAAGCATGCCCTCTGGGCTGGGTATGAAGTGCAGTCGCTAGTGTGCTTGTTGAACTGTGTGAAAACTAGGTTCAAGCCCTAGCACGGCAGTAATCTTCATGCTTGGGACATGGAGCGGGAGGATCTCAAGTTCAAGGGCATGCTTAGCTACATACTGAGTTCAAGACAAAGGTGGGCTACATGAGACCCTGTTGCAAAGAGACAGAGACACAGAGAAACACAGATAAAGAGACAGACAGAGACAGAGACACAGAGAGATGCACACACGGAGAGGGGTTCCTTAGCTCATTTCTTTCAAGAAGTAGCCCCGAGAAAGGGGCAGAGTAGAAATAGTGTCTCCAGTTTTCAGATGGGAAAACCAAGGCCGAAGGAGATGAAAGAGTCACTTAAGTGGCCCAGTGTGTCAGTGCAAGACTCAGTCAGATGGTATGTCAGAGGTGCAGGGCCCAGCATCTGTCTCTAACTGCAAATGCACCCAACCCTAAGAGGAGGCCACCCAGAGCTACCCGAGACTTCAGGTTTGGTTTGCTTTCTCCCAGCTACTGCTGAGAAGTCAGCAGGCCCCCGGGACTGTTCCTTGGAGCAGTTGTGGAGTGTGTCATGACAGTCCTGTTTTCCCTTGTGACCTTGACCACCACAGGGCCTCCCATCTCCTTCTCCAGGGCGGGGCTCAAGGGATCTACTAGTTTGTGCCTGTGACTCACAGATACTGTCTGAGGCCCTGGCTGGTGAACTCCGTGATCCCAGCCCTCTTACCCTATCAACTGGAGACCAGCAGAGATGAGACAGCTGCCCACGGTCCTCAGACATTAGCCATCTAGATGTGGTTCCAGCTGGCCTCTAGGCCAGCCTAGTAGAAAGGAGAGCTGGGGTCCGGGTAAGGCTAGTTCCCACATTCCCAGGGATAGGAGTATAAGGAGGGCTTCTTGCTCTTGCCACAACCCCCACTTTGGAACGCTGTGGAGGGAAGTTCTGCACTCCTCAGGCCTCCATACCTTCCTCTTTTCCTGTGCTTCGTGTTGATGTGGTCTGAGAAGGGCTTTGATCCTCCCAGGCTGGAGGAGGATCTGATGTCTAGTCACTTGGAGGCCGGTGTAGAAAAGTGCAGGCTTTCCCACTTTTCTTTCCCATTAGTGCTTTTTTCCCCCCTTATCCAAGCAAAATGTGTTTATGGTACTGTAATATAGGAAAGCATAAAGAAGAAACCAGCCAGGTGGTGGTAGCGCACGCTTTTAATCCCTGCAGTTGGGAGGCAGAGGCCGGCACATGTCTGAGTTAGAGGCCAGCTTGGACCACATGGTGCGTTCCGGGATAGCCAGAGCTACACAGAGAAAAACTTAAAAATAAAGAAATAGATGAATAGATAAATAAATAAATAAATAAAAGAAGAAACAAAACCAGCTAGAGGGAAGCCTTCCTGACACCTCTTTGAAATGGCATCTGCTGTCACCCTTCCTTCCCCTGCCCCCACCCAGCCTGACTTGCACAGGTACGGAGGGAATGCCTGGGCACTCTCAGAGCAAGAGTCTGCCTCTGTCTGGTCTTCCTCCCTTCACACAGATGGGAATGCAAAAGCCACCATAGCTTCTTCTCAGGGGTGTCCACTCTCCACAGAGACCTACAGTTTCTAGATCCCCGTAACTGTGCCTGGGAAGGTCTGTTGAGTGACAGGCCCAAGGTCCAGGTCAAAGGTGACCAGCAGTTAGCACGGACTGAAGTGCCAGGCGCGGTGGTGAGCCTGCCACACGTTTAATGGAGACAGTCATCTCTCAGTCTCGTCAGGTGGATGCTCCCATCCCTGCTTCTGCATAGGGGCAGACAGAGCCTAGAGATGAGAATTTCCCAAGAAGCACTAGGCCCACGAGGTGAGGTTGGCTTGTTTCAGGAAGTGTCTCCAGGAGAGGTGGGGAGCTGGTTTGGACACTAATGCTGCCCTCTGTTTGCTTTTCAGAGCTGTGCCCACAACACAGTCCCCTGGACCCCACACCCCACACGCTGGTGCAGCCCATCTCCTCTATTCTGGCCTCTGACCCCAGCAGCTGCCCGCGCTGCCAGCAGGAGGCAGGCAGGCGGCCCTTAGGCCTGGGCAGTACTGACTCAGGCCAGGAAGGCTCAGGCTCTGGCAGCTCTGCAGGGGCCGATGGGGATGGACCCCAAAGCAGTGAGGATGGGGCCTCCTCAGGCTTGGGGAAGGAGGAGGAGCAGGAGGATGGGGCAGCCCGACTGTGTGGGGATGTGTGGCGAGAGACGAGAGCCAAGCTTCGGGGCATCGTGGACAGCAAATACTTCAACCGAGGCATCATGATGGCCATCCTGGTCAACACTGTCAGCATGGGCATCGAGCACCATGAGCAGGCCAGTGCGGGGTACAGGGCTCGGGTCCGGTGAGGGTGGAGAAGCAGGCCAGTGGAGAGCCTGGGGTTGAGGTTGGGCAGGGGTGGAAGGGGCAAGCTGGACTCATCTCCACATCATGTCTGTTTCCCCAAACCCTGGCCAGAGCGGAGTCTAATCCTTCTATATGGCTTCACAACTTTGCCCAAGGCCACACTCTAGGGGCAGATGCTCTGGGGTAGCTTCAGGATGAGCGGATGAGGAGTGAGGCTTGACAGGACAGGACTCAGGGGTTAAGACTCAGGGCCTGCTTTTTCTCCTCCTAGGCTGCCTAGAAGTCTGTAGCCGACAGGCTGCTCCTAGGGTAACAGCCTGTCAAATCTGGGCTCAAATCTGGAATGACCCTATTTCCTGGCTCCTGTCCACTTGTCTTTTTTGGAGGCGTGGCTTCTTTGGCCTGCTCCTCAGCCTGGTGGGGTACCCCCCTTGCCAGCTGGCTATGTCCGGCTCACTGACCCAAGGTTCAAGCCCTGCTTGAACCCACTTCCTGTGGGAAGACTGATACCCTAGCAGGATTTGGATTTTGACCCCCTTGGCTTTAGTGTCACCATGATTCCCCTGCCTGGAGGGGGCCACACTCTTCATGTCTCTGCTCATTAGCTCACCAAGCATAGGCTTCATTCAATTTAGTTAAATGTGGCCCCTGGGGCTGCCGCCGCCACTCAGGTGGCACTGCAGGTTTACCAGCTATTTTGACTTAATTAAAAAGATCTTTGGGGAGGGCTGCTGGATGGGATCTCTTCGAGGGGGGAGGCTGTGGAGAGGCGAGGCCTGTGCTCTGCTTCAAGCCCTGGACTGTCAGAATGCAGAGGCCCAGCAGGGTTTACACTCTTGGGTGTGGCGCTGTGGGAAGGGTGTGGCTCTGGTGTCCACACCCTTGCTCTTCCAGAGAGGGGCGCTGTCCCTGGCTCTGGCTTGCTGCAACCAGTTGGTGAGAGAGCCAGTTTTCCTCACATTTCGGACTTTAGCAAGCAGCTGTTAAATAGCTGCTTGTTTGAAATGGGTGATGGAGACCATATTTATACCATGGACACTGGGAGACAGTACAGATTAGGGCTGTTTTCTCATTGGTGGGTTTACCTGAGCCTCACTGGTCTCTCACTTCTTAAACTCCCTACAAGGCAACACCACAGCCAAGGCCACTTCCTTTGCCCTCCAGAGTGACCGGGGCCAGTCGTGGCTCCCTGCATGAGTCTGCTCACGGTCTTCTCCAGTTCATATCTCTCTGCCACACCCCACTTGAGCAGGCCTGCCTTCTTTAAAGATTGGTTTTTAACCCAGCTGTGGTGGCACACGCCTTCAATCCCAGCACTTCAGAGGAAGAGGAAGGCAGGTCTGAGTCTGAGACTAGTCTGCTCTACAGAGCAAGTTCTTGGACAGCCAGGGCTAACTCAAAGAAACCCTGTTTTGAAACCAACAACAACAAAAGCAAAGAAACGAACAAACAAAAACATGTTTTATTACATCTCTACCCATTGGGCCATCTCATTGGGCCCCTTGAGCAGACTTTCTAAATTTGTTAGAGCCTCTTTCACCGGGACAGCAGAAGTCACAGGCTGCTGAAATTGCCTCCTTCTTGGAGTCCCCACCTGGCTCGAAGAGATCCTGCTAGTTGTAGGGTCTATCCTGATCTCCTCATCTGCAGCCTTAGCTAAGAGATGAGGACTTCTTCGTTCTCCTAAGTCTCCTGGGGATTTCTTTCTTTCTTTTTCTTTCCTTTCTTCCTTTCCTTTTCTTTCCTTCTTTCCTTCTTTCCTTCTTTCCTTCTTTCCTTCCTTCCTTCCTTCCTTCCTTCCTTCCTTCCTTCCTTCCTTCCTGTGCTGGGAATTGAACCCAGGACATGCTAGGAGAGTGCTCTGCCATCAAGACACACCCTGCCGTTGTTGGGTGTTATTTCTCTTCATGAGACACTGACAGGTCTTCCTGGCCGACATCCTTTCACCTGTCACCTCCTTCTAAGCTAGTCCCTATATGGAATATCCACAGCCATATGGAGCCTGAGCAAATCATTCTTGGTGATGGCCCGCCATTATTTGAGCAGTGGTGGTCATGCTGAAGGCCATGAGCTTCCTGTGATTAGGGATGCAGGGGTGATAAGTCAGGACCTCACCACCTTGCAGGGATACACAGAGTTCTCTGCAGGCCTGAGTGGGGTGCAGGGCCCAGTAGAGGTGGGGCAGGGGTGAGGAGGAAAGGACCTGTGGCACTCTCCCCTTTCTCCTTGCATGCCATCTGCAGCCCTGGGCCACCTCTCACTGTGGGTGCCACCTCAGTGGGGGATGCTCAGAATAAACCTGGGGGTGGATCAGTTTCCCGCAGAGAGACGTCTGAGAGCCCAGGGCGAGGAACAAAAATACCAGCCGGCCCTGCGCAGAGCTCTGCTGAACAATGGCTGCCACTCCGAGATGCTTTAAAAAGACTGGTTTAAAAATGCGTCCTCCTCCTCCTCCTCACTTCTTCTTTAATTAATTTTTGAGGCTCCAGACAGTGGATGGTAAACTCACCCAGGCTGGTGGTAGAAGGCTCAAACAAAAGGCCTGCTGGTAATGATGGAGTCCTGAATACCTACTAGATGCCAGCATTCACACGTTTGCCTTTCCCGACCACCGTGTGTGTGTGTGTGTGTGTGTGTGTGTGTGTGTGTGTGTGTGTGGTGGCGGCAGGGGGCTGTCTGGCTTATCTGTACATAGAGACACCAGCTAGATCCAGATAGACGAGCATGTGACTTTCCCAGGGCTACCCTTTCTATCAACTGTAGAACCAGGACTGAGACACAGACCGTGAATGAAGGACACGGCCTCTGAGCAGGGGCCTTCCAAGTGTGAAAACAGGAAGCAGTGACCAACACTGAGGTAGCACCCACAGTGAGAGGCGGCCCAGGGCTGCAGATGGCATGCAAGGAGAAAGGCTGGCATGGGGTGGGCTGCAGAGAGGATACGCCCGACTTAGAGCTGCTGCCTCACTCCAGGATGTGGACCATTTTGGTTCCAGCTCTCAGGGGAATGCGTTCAAGGCCTCCCCAGTCGTGGGTGACTCAAAGCTCATTATGTAGTCCCTGTCAAGTAACCCAGGGTTAGGGTGACTCTGGAAAGAGAATTATGGGGTGGTTTAGTGCCTGACATTTTAACTCTGTGAGGGAAGAGAGAGTTGAGACTGATATGGGTCCTAGTCAGGGAGGGCTTCCTGGAAGAGAGAGCACTGAGGATGGATCTTGAAGGATGACCATGAGTTATCAGTCAGAAAGACAGGTATGAGGGAGGGGAAGGACCCGGAGCTTTCAAGAAGGGTGCACACAAAGGGTGTGGGGACAGTCCATGAGGCAGGGCGGGCTGCTTGTCTACTGAGGGCCTTGAGGACGCTTCTGTTCTCAGTGCCGTGGAGAACCATGGAAGGCTTGTAATGGTGTGTGCCGGGCAAACGTCTTCTAAAATGTGGCCAGGTGATGGTGCCTGGTTCACAGCTGAAGGAGGACACCTGACTCCGGAGTGGACCCCATCTTGGCCTGGTCATGACCCTGCCTCTAACCCTGAGCAGTCACTTCGGCCTGAGCCCCGGGTTTCCTAACTGTTAAAGGGGGCAGTGTGGGCAAGACTGGAGCACAGGTGACGAGCCCATAGAAAGGGCTTTGCCCTCCTGCGCCAGGGAGGAGCTTAGCTGCCACCTGCCGCCACTGTCACCGTGGACGGGTTCCCGGACTGGTTCAAAGACCTGTGCATGTCCTTTAATCTACCCCCCCCCCCCCCAGAGGTGGCCAGAGATTGGAGAGCTGGGGCCGCCAAGCCCAGCACTGGGCTAGGATGAGCCCCTGGGCCTTCAAGGTGGAAGCTGGCGTTTTCCCATCTGGACCACCTGCTCTTCCACAGGCTGCGTGTCAGGCATTCCCATTATACTTCTCCCTGTTGGTCTGTCTGTCTGTCTGTCTGCTGTGATTTCTGTGTTGCCTCTCTTTTTCCGGAGTGTCTCTGGCTTCTACTGTGTCACCGTGTCTCAGGCAACTCCCTCTTCCTTCCTAAAATAGGATTTCATCTAGCCCAGGCTGGCCTTGAACTCACTGTATAGTCAACAATGACCTTGAACTTCTGATCCTCCTACCTCCAACCTCTGGAGTGCTGTGATTACAGGCATATGCTGCTGTGCCAGGTTAATGGGGGTGCTGGCAATGGTCTTGGGACCCCATGTATGTGAGACAAGCTCTCTGCCAACTGAGCTACATCCCGAGACCACTCAGAGTTGATAGTAGGGCTTTCGCCTCTGCCCTTTGCTCACCACATCCCTATCTGTCCATCCATCCATCCTGCTCCCATCTCTCTGCTCCTCTCTGCATCTCTGCCTTGTCCCTTCTGCACCCCCCTCCCCCCTCGCTTGATCTCCCACTTGTCGTGTCTATATTCATCCATCTGCCTCTCTCCAGCCTGCCTCTCTCCCGGAAAAAAAAAAAATGCTCTTGGGAGTGATGGATGGTCCATTAGAGAAAGATTAACAGGTGTGCGCTGCCTGGAAAAACAGCTGTTGCGGGGGAGGAGGGAGGCGAGTTAGTGACCTTTCTGAAGCGCAGTGGCTTGCGCACAGTTGGAGGGACCGTGTGCCGCACCGCGTGGGGCTGAGAGCCAGCGGGTGGCCATCTTGGACCCTGCCGGCAGCCACCTTCCTCATCTCTGAAGATTTGATTTGGGTGGGGTGAATGGGCTCCATTCCCGTTCCTCCCACCCCGCACCCCTTCCAGGGTCCTGCTCCCCTTGCCTTTTGTGAGTCAAATGTAATTACAGATGGAAATGGGGGCCTCTCCTTTCATCTGGGCTTGAGAGGAATGGGCGCTTTTATTGGATATCCTGGGCACTAGATGGGAAGCTGGTGGCTGGATAATTCTTTTTCTTTCTTCTTGTAAGCCACATGGGATCAAAGTTAGACCCCTGGGGTTCCTTGTGGCCCAGTGGAAGGGCTGGGCTCGGAGTTAGGGTGCTGACAGGTGAGAGGTGGTTTGCTGTTGTGACACTATCTTGTCACCCAGCTCTTGCTCTAGCTGGGAATTCGGCTTGGTCACCCTTCTTTGCTTCTGTGTCACCAGCTCTCTTTTACTTCCTCCGGGTGGCTGCCTGACTCCCCAGCACCCTCCCCAAAACTATACTTGGCTTAGCCAGTATTAGTGGGTACTGGCTTTGCTTTGTTTTGGGGTGATTCGTGGGACTCTTGTCACCGAGAGCAGGCATCCTCCTTGCAGGAACGTAGGCCCAGCAGAGGGCGGCCTCTTGGAAGAGGTGATACATTCAGGAGTGAAGAAATGAATGAGTGAGCGAGCAGGTTCAGGCAGGATTTCCGTGTTCGGCAATTGAGTCTGTTCTTCTCCCTGGGTAGTTCTGTGCAAGTCGATCCTCACTACCCAGCCAGTTTCCTTATCAAGCGGAAAGGTCATTGGCGGCCTATCAGGTTTCGAGGTTCAGTGAGAGGAAAATACGTAGCCATTCCTTTTCTGGGATCCAGGCAGAAGCCATTGGTGTATCCATGAGCATAAGCCAGGCCCTTCAACGCAGAGAGCACAGGGTCAGAGCTTCCTTGACTGACCCTTAACCAGAGGCTGGGAGTCCACGAGGCTGTGTTCACTATCTGTCCTGCTTACGGGTAATGGGAGAGAGGCTCAGAGGCAGGAGGCCATGTCTGGCCTCTCTCTCTATCCACACAGCAGCCTGGTCTGTTTCAGAGCAGGGTCCTGGATGGTACCATTTGCAAGCTGCTGCCTGCCTCTTAAAATCCTGAGAGGAACAACTCCAGGGGTAGGGAGAGGCCTGTGGCTAAAGAATGGGGGTCCGCTGTCACCAGCTAGTGACTCCGGGCACTCCCCTTCATCTTCTTGGTGTTTCCTGAGAGGCGCCCTGTTCCTAACGTGCAGCAGGTACCCTGTTCTCTGTCCTCTGTCTCCTGTCAGTGTGTGAAAGGCTGGCCCAATGCCTCCCACTGTACAGTACCAGCCTCACTCCCCAGTGGACACTCCTCCCCCCACCCCACCCCCACCCCTTATCCGGAGGTAGCACAGTTGAGAAGTCCTAAAGACTACGGTGCAAGTCTACCGGGCCGGCCAGGGTCACACGTTCCCTGCCCCCACATCCCACAGCCCGAGGAGCTGACCAACATCCTGGAGATCTGTAATGTCGTCTTCACCAGCATGTTCGCCCTGGAGATGATTCTGAAGCTGGCTGCCTTCGGGCTCTTTGACTACCTGCGAAACCCTTACAACATCTTCGACAGCATCATCGTCATCATCAGGTAACCATACTGTCACCCCAAAGCTGAGGAGCAGGGGTGAGAGCCCCAGCCCCTAGCCGCACAGGAAGCCTCTGAGTGGCAAAGGAAACCATTGCCGAAGGGCAGTTACCAAAATACCGAATAAACCGGTGTATTTAGTAATATATACTTCTGCACCAAGATGCTCAATAGAGGCGGCAGTGAGTCTGAGGCCAGCGGAGTTGCAAACAGGGGTTGGAAACACAGAAATAGCTACGTCAATCCTTATGCAACCTGAGGCTATCAGCTACTCTGATTGCCCACGAAGTCACAGCTATGGCTGATTCTCTAGTGGCTTGTTTACAATCATAATCACCTCAGAAAGAGGAGAGCGACCTTCAGAGGCTGGTGAGACTGGGCACAGACTGTTGCCTCCTCTTCGTCCTTCACGTCTGTGCCTGTGCATGTGCGTGTGCGTAGGTCAGAGGGCGACGTGGCAGGAGTCACTTCTCTCCTGCTGTGGACTCCTGAGGACTGAACTCAGGTCATCAGACTTGGTGGCAAGCTTCTCTAGCTGCTGACTCCTCTCTCCAACTCTAGCCATAGGCTTTTTAATGCAGGATCCATAGGCTCCTGGCTAAGAAACCCTGATTTAGGGGGGTTGTGGAGTGGCAACCAATCCCATTTGTTAGATGTATGGATGATGTAAGTTGCTTCTCTGCCCTCCGTGCCCTCTCTACTTCTCCCATCCTCCCACCCCCTTGGCCTCCCACTGACACTGTCTGCCTCCTTGTACTGGCTGCAGCATCTGGGAGATCGTGGGGCAGGCGGACGGCGGCCTGTCCGTGCTGCGCACCTTTCGGCTGCTGCGGGTGCTGAAGCTGGTGCGCTTCATGCCGGCGTTGAGGCGCCAGCTCGTGGTGCTCATGAAGACCATGGACAACGTGGCCACCTTCTGCATGCTGCTCATGCTCTTCATCTTCATCTTCAGGTGAGCCACACTCTCCTAGGACTCAGTACTTGGGGTCTGCGGGGTAGTGGTGGAGGGGGATACGGCTGTGTACCTGGGACGTGGTGGCTGGTGGAAGATCCTAGGGACAAAGTTGCCAAAGCACCATCATTCAACCCCAATGGCTCCAGGAAGGCCCTTCCTCTGAGCCTTGGCAGCTCCCTCTCTTGACACGGACCCGAGGTTCTCCTCTCTTCTGGTACCGGTTGGTCTTGGGAATAGCAGAGAGCTCAGTGTGGTAAGTCTCCTGAGCCACCTCCTTCCCTTTCGCAGCATCCTTGGGATGCATATCTTTGGCTGCAAATTCAGCCTCCGCACGGACACCGGAGACACGGTCCCCGACAGGAAGAACTTCGACTCCTTACTGTGGGCCATTGTGACGGTGTTCCAGGTGAGTGGCAGCTGAAAGTTCACGGATTTCAGGGGGGTGGAGAACATCTAGACAGCAGGTCTGGGAGAGGCTGAAGCTGACAGGCTGGGCTTGGGGGAGCTGGGCCTGGGCCTGGACCAGGGCCGAACCGTGTCCTTCTCAACAGATCCTCACTCAGGAGGACTGGAACGTTGTCCTGTACAATGGCATGGCTTCCACCACCCCCTGGGCCTCCCTCTACTTTGTTGCCCTCATGACCTTTGGCAACTATGTTCTCTTCAATCTCCTGGTGGCTATCCTGGTAGAGGGCTTCCAGGCTGAGGTAACTAACCCTGGGCTTAGCTGCTGGGCAGGGGACAGGCCTGGATGAGGGATGAGCACAGCTCTAAATAGTCCTCCGCAGCAGAGCTGCTGACAAGGCGGCAGACTTCTCATTCCAGGAAGAAATGCAAAAGGAAGCTGCAACCAGGATCCCACTTCTCTCCCGGGATCTCCCTTCTCCACCTCAGATTCTAAAGCTTCCAAGATCTGGGTTTCCAGGGCCTGCTTCTCCCTCCATACTGTTGGGCTTTGGGGAGTCCTGGAAATCAGGAGGGCTGGCTTTTGCCGCCAAAGCCCTCATCAGGCTCTCACATCCCTGTTTTGAACCAGTTACCTCCATCTGTAAAAGGGGGGTGGAGACACCCATTGAGAAATCCCGAGGGTAGGGTGGGCAGCGCTGACCTGTTCCAACGGGACCTGATCTCCCAGGGTGATGCTAATCGCTCCTACTCTGATGAGGACCAGAGCTCATCCAACATGGAGGAGTTTGACAAGCTCCCAGAGGGCCTGGACAGCAGCGGGGGTAAGCGCACCCACTTTCCATGCAGGGCCAGAAGCCCTCGGTAGATTCCCAGGTGGACAGGGGGCAGCAATGGCTTCCCCATGAAGCCTAGGCCCCAGGACTGTTACTTGTCTTTTTTTTTTTTTTTTTTTTTTTTTTTCACAATTATAACATCTCTTGTCTGAAAAGAGGTGCTTTGGTCTCAGAAGCAGACAATCGTGGACCTCCTGGATTCCCCTAGAAAGACCACCTGTTTCCCTTCCCACATGGGGCTCTGACTTCCAGCCGCAGTGGGATGTGGCCCGGGCTCTGGCCATGTCTGACACTACTAGGCAGCCTTTTCCAACTATGCCCAATGACCATGGTAACACAAGAGGATGGTTCCTGCCTGTGAGCATGGGCCTGAAGTGCTCTTGTCTGGAGGAGGTCCAGGCTGGCCTCAGAGCAGAGGGGAAGGGTTCATGAAGAGGCAGGATGGAGGAAGGCACAAGAAGCAGGCTCCAACCTCCAGGATTTCCCAGTGGAGGACATCTCCCTTGAAAGGCTCTCCAACTGTATACATTTGTTTTTGATTGTCTCATGGCTTCCTTTGCTCGTCTGTCTGTCATCCTCTCACACCTCCAGATCTCAAGCTCTGCCCAATACCTATGACACCCAATGGACACCTGGACCCTAGCCTCCCCCTGGGTGGGCATCTGGGTCCCGCTGGGGCCATGGGCACGGCCCCCCGCCTCTCACTGCAACCAGACCCAGTGCTGGTGGCCCTAGACTCCCGAAAGAGCAGTGTCATGTCCCTGGGCAGGATGAGCTACGATCAGCGTTCCTTGGTGAGTCCTGTGGGCTCTGTGATGGCTGCTGGAGGTGGGGGCAGTGAAGGAATGTGGTACAGGTGCCCTGGCCAGGCTACCACACAATCTAGTCCATGTTGATGACAATCCTGGGTGCTGGGTGCCAAAACAGGTCTTGGTAGCTGGAATGAAAGAGTGGGGTCTGGTGGACAGACCTGGGATTTCATCCTGGCAGCAGTGTATAGACTATAGGGGTGGGGCCAAGTAGAGCTTGAATCTGGCCTCTGCTACCCCTGAGCTGTGTAAAATGGAGCGAATTACCACCTCTCCCTAAGCCTGTAAGCCTGTAAGGCAGGCGCTTGTTTGTTACATGCTTTTCTCTAGAGCAGGGGAGGGTTTAATGTGAATTAAACCCATTGGAATGGGTGCGCTTGCTCTAGCATGGCGTCCAGGAGGTCTGGGCCTTGGTGCGAGATTACGGTGCGGGTAATCTCGACCTGCTGATCCAGGTCGGGTCCTCTCCGCAGTCCAGCTCTCGGAGCTCCTACTACGGGCCCTGGGGCCGCAGCGGGGCTTGGGCCAGCCGCCGGTCCAGCTGGAACAGCCTGAAGCACAAGCCGCCCTCAGCGGAGCACGAGTCCCTGCTCTCGGGGGAGCGCGGTGGCAGCTGCGTCAGGGCCTGTGAGGGCGCCCGGGAAGAGGCGCCACCCCGCGCCGCACCCCTACATGCCCCGCACACCCACCACGCGCACCATGGATCCCACCTGGCACACCGTCACCGCCACCACCGCCGGACGCTGTCCCTCGATACCAGGGACTCGGTTGACCTGGCAGAGCTGATGCCCGTGGTGGGTGCCCATTCACGGGCCGCTTGGAGGGCAACGGGCCAGGCCCCTGGGCACGAGGACTGCAATGGTAGAATGCCCAACATCGCCAAGGACGTCTTCACCAAGATGGACGACCGCCGCGACCGTGGGGAGGAGGAGGAGGAGATCGACTACGTGAGTAGAGACTGGCTGGGACGCCCCTGAAGCTGCGCTCTGAAAGCCAGTCTGCAGGGCTGAGAGGGGCGGAGCCAAAGGTGGTCTGTGCGTAGTGGGTGGGGCCTGAACCGCCCACTGACCTACCCTGTCACCAATCTTTCCTTGGCTGGAGCTTGGGGGGAGAGTTCAGAGTTCATCCCGTGCCCCCAGTTTGTTGGCTGGTGGAGTGGGAAGAGATGGACCCGACCTCTCAGCACCAGCCCCAGCACCCAATTCCTTGCCTTGCCAGACCCTGTGTTTCCGGGTCCGCAAGATGATTGATGTCTACAAGCCAGATTGGTGCGAAGTCCGCGAGGACTGGTCGGTCTACCTCTTCTCCCCAGAGAACAAGTGAGTAGTGGCTGGCTGAGAGAGTGACGGCCAGGGGAGGAGGGTGACATGTCTGGGACGGAGAGTTCCCTACTAACCTTCATATGCCAGAGAGAGGAGGGTCTTCAAGGGACGGCCAGGGTCCCGGTGTCCCTCCCTCTGGGGCTTTCCTGAACATCTCTGTCATTTTTAAGCCAGCTGTGTGCTGGGCACAAGGCTAGACAGACCCACAGGCAGCCTGAAAGCTCAGGGGCAGCCCTTCTGGTCAGGCCTTTGTGTTGTTACTTTGGTGTATGGGTGGGGGGGAGGCTCATTGGGAACCTTAGGCAGGTGTTGAAGGGAATCCCTTTCTTTAAGCCGTTCTGGTCCCCTAGTGTGTGTCTTGGCCCTCTGTCTTCCTTCTGGTCAGAGTGGGAGGCAAACTGATCCTCCTGGGGTGGGGGTGTTCCTTGACATCCACTTAGGTTCCGGATCCTGTGTCAGACCGTCATTGCTCACAAGCTGTTCGACTACGTGGTCTTGGCCTTCATCTTCCTCAACTGTATCACCATTGCTCTGGAGAGGCCCCAGATTGAAGCCGGTAGCACTGTGAGTGGTTACAGTCCTGGGGCCGGGATGGGGGGGGGCCAGAACACTGGGGATGACAAAGGTGGGGGAGAGCTCAGCCAAGCCAGACATTTAGCATGCAGAGATAGGGGTGGGGGTGGAATAGGAGGGGTGGGGGAAGGGTGGAGTGGCTGGGAGCTCGCCTGCCTGTGGGAGATCTGAGAAGAGGTGATCGTGGTGGCTGCCCCTGGCTGAAGCTGGCCAGGCACACCAGGCATCCGTGGAAGGCCTGGGCTCTCACGGCCTCTCCCATTCTTTCAGGAGCGCATCTTCCTCACGGTGTCTAACTACATCTTCACAGCCATCTTCGTGGGCGAGATGACACTGAAGGTTGTTCTGGGCTTTACCCAGGATCCCCCCCCCCCCCAGCCCCTCCGTGGAGTCCCTGACCTAGGCCTCACCTCTCCTGCTGGCCTGGCCCTCAGCAACATTCCGCAGGTCCCAGAGGTCCACTCCTGTGGAGCTCTAGACCCTGGGTTGATCTTCAGGAACTGGAAGGGGATCAGTGGCTCCTTCTTCTCCACTCATCAAACCCGACTAGGATGGCACATTTGGGTGGATGCTTCCCAGTGTGGGTGGCTCTGGATGGGGGTCTCATTGTTAAGCTCTGAGACCAAAGCTTACATACAGGCTTCCCTGGGCCCGAACCCTGCTCCTTCCTGCCTATTACCAGCCCCCAGAAGAACCACACCCCATGAGCCACACCCCATCCATCACCTTACCTCCTTTTGTCCTGTTTCTGGGGAGGGGGAGTCTTCTGGCCCCTCCTCCTCCCAAAGCCTCACCCTCGGCCCACTCCCAGGTGGTTTCCCTGGGCCTGTACTTTGGCGAGCAGGCATACCTGCGGAGCAGCTGGAACGTACTGGATGGCTTCCTGGTCTTCGTGTCCATCATCGATATTGTGGTATCCGTGGCCTCTGCGGGGGGAGCCAAGATTCTGGGGGTCCTCCGGGTCCTTCGGCTCTTGCGCACCTTGCGTCCCTTGAGGTGAGGATCCCCACCCAACATGTGGGGACGGAGTGGGGGATGGGTGCTGCTTCACTGTATTGGGACGTTGCCGAAGTCTTAGTGGATTTCAATCACTCCGGCCCCGACAACGGCTCCCGAGAGAATTGTGCCAAGCATATCCTGCTGCCATGGGAGGAGCCTAAGAGTCCTAGGGTGAGGGCTAAAATTGCCTCCACTGCCTTACTTCCTCTGAGTTTCTGGGTAGCTCACTGCCATCTCTGTGTTGTCACCTCTTGGATGTGGTGTGCATTCTATGGGCTTGGGTGAGGAGGTCTGTGCACTGATCTAGGTAGAGATTGCTGCTCATTCCCTGGCCTAGCCAACCTGGCTCCTGTATCTTCATTTCCTGTGGAACCTCCTCCCCCTGGAGCTGACTGGGAGCTGAGCTGGGGCTGTCTCTCTGTCGACCGTGCCGCACAGTACCCTTGGCCTTCCTTGCCTGCCTACAGGGTCATCAGCCGGGCGCCTGGCCTGAAGCTGGTGGTGGAGACTCTCATCTCCTCCCTTAAGCCCATCGGCAACATTGTGCTCATCTGCTGCGCCTTCTTCATCATCTTCGGCATCCTGGGGGTGCAGGTGAGGGGTGTCCACTCTGTGGGGGGACAAGAAGCCGAGCACAGCCTGTTCACGCCTACCCACCCCACCTGTGTTCACTCACCTGGGGACTCAGGTGGTCTTGGTGGGGCCAAGTGAGAAACGCAGGCCCAGCCTGAGTGGACTGAGCAAGGGGCAGGTTGCGTGTGAAGGTCGGTCCCTGGAGCTTTCCCTCTGGGTGTGTCTGTCTTACCCTGAGCACTACCTCTCCTTCCTCCCGCACAGCTTTTCAAGGGCAAGTTCTACCATTGTCTGGGAGTGGACACCCGCAACATCACCAACAGATCTGACTGCGTGGCCGCCAACTACCGCTGGGTGCATCACAAGTACAACTTTGACAACCTGGGCCAGGTGAGCATGCCTAGGGTCACGAGGGTCACAGACCTGGCTCCAGCCCTACACTGTCAGGGTAGTTTCCCGGTTTCCCATTCCGAAAAGTAGGTAGGGGTGGAGATAGCAGAGGCTCAGGAGGGGTAGGGCTGGGACCCTGGGTGCAGAGTCTGCCAGCACGTGAAACTTAACAGGCACCTCACGAACACTGGCACAGCCCCTCAGGCTTGTCAGGAAGCTTCCGGTCTAAAGGCTCCCTGCCCCCTCACTTAGTTCCTGCCATGGGTCAGGACATGGGAGCTTATGGATTTTCTTGCTGGACATCTCACAGACATTTCCTTCTAGAACTGAGATGGTAACTCAGGACTCTGGCTCCAGTTCGCCTCTACCACACAATAGCAATCACATAGTTTGGCACATAGTAGGTCTTCAGGGAGGCCCCGTCAGCTGAGGGCATAGCTCTACTACTCAGGAAGACCTCTTTGTCTTGGTCTCCTAGAGGCAGAACAGTAGAGGGCCGATGAACCCACATCTCTTACCCCTGCCCCCTTCCTTTGTCCTCCAGGCTTTGATGTCCCTCTTTGTCTTGGCCTCCAAGGATGGCTGGGTGAACATCATGTATAATGGATTGGATGCTGTTGCTGTGGACCAGCAGGTGGGCATGACTGGGGCCACAGTGGATGAAGATGGTGGGGAGAGGACCATCCAACTCTTGGTCTCCTAGAACCAACCTGGTTAGATCTACAGCTGAGGAGGAGATGAGGAGGGTCAGGGGAGATGAGTACACTTGTATGAGTTTCTCTGCTCCTTGTCTGCCTGTCTCCTCTGCCTAGCAATGGATTCCACCCACCATTCTGAGCTTGGCTGCCTCCTGGTCACTTTGTTTTCTGCTTTGTTTCTGGATGGACGAATAAGGGGGTGGGTGGGAAGGTGGATGAATGGCAGGTTGAATGGATGGAAGGCTGGGTAGATGGATGGATAGGTAGTTGAATGGATAGATGGATAAGTGGACAAGTGGGAGGGTGGATGGGAGGATGGATGAGTGGATAGATGGGTATGGGCGTGGTTGGGAAGGTAGATGGATAGATGGGTGGACAAGTGTATAGATGAGTCCGTGAGTGGATGAATGGACATGTTGATGGATGGATAGACAGACAGATAGCTAGATTAATGAGTAGGTGGGAGGTTAGATATATGACTGGGTTTATAGATGGAAAGATGTGTGAGTGGATAGGTGAAGGGATGAATGGGTGGGCTGGTGGACAGATATAAATAGGTTGGATAGATAGTGGGTGGATGGATGGATGAATGGGTGAGTGGATAGGTGGGTAATATATGGGTTGGATAGATGGTGGGTAAATGGCCGGGTGGGTGATGGGCTGGGAAGATGATGGATAGTTGGATGCATGCATGGGTGAATGAGTGGTAAGTCAATGAAAAGACAGCAGACCAATGTGTGCAGGACACAACCACAGGAGCAGGGAAGAAGAGGGCCCTTTTGCTCACCTCTTAACATGCCAGGCCCAGGCTAGACTTCCCACTTGCTGTGTTGTCTTCACCTTTTGCTTTGGAGGCAGGCTGCTCATCCGAGGCCTTGCTGTGCTGATCAGCCTGCTCAGTCCTCACTCTGCCTCCCCTGCAGCCCGTGACCAACCACAACCCCTGGATGCTTCTGTACTTCATCTCCTTCCTGCTCATCGTCAGCTTCTTCGTGCTCAACATGTTCGTGGGTGTGGTTGTGGAGAACTTCCACAAGTGCCGACAGCACCAGGAGGCCGAGGAGGCGCGGAGGCGCGAGGAGAAACGGCTTCGGCGCCTGGAAAAGAAGCGCCGTAGTGAGCACGTGGTGGATGCTGGGATGGGCAGCGTCTCCCTACCCACTGCTGTGCCCTCTGAGGGGTGCCCCGGGGTGGGTCTGACCCAGGTCTGCTGGGCCTTTGGAACTGAAAGAGAACAAAAGATTTAATTTTTCCTTTGCCCACGGCCCATCACCTTTCCCCAGCGTCTACCTGTCCAGGTGACCTGAACCTATCAGTAATCACAGCCCTGCCCACCTGATTAAAGACATGCACCAGAGCAGGCAGAGACACAGAAGGCTCTCCTGTGGGCACCACTGAGTGGGGACTTTTAGAACACACCTGCTCCTCATTCTTCCTCCTGCACGTTGTCTACAGTTTTTGGGGCAGTCATCCATCCCTGGATGGCCAGCCTCAGACCCTTGTTTCTGCCTTATCAGACCTAGAGTCCTTGTCATGGGCCTCTTTGGGGTGTTTGGGGATAATGTGTGTCCCAACATCTCTGCTTCCTGCGCCCAATGTCTCACGGTTCTCACGGTGCCCTGGCTGGTAGAGGAGCACTCTCCTCCAAGACCTGGTGTGGGCCGGCATGCTTCTCTCTTGCTTCTTCCCTACCCATGGTCTTTCTCCCTTCTTTGTGCTCTTCCTCTGCTTGGTCCAACCCTGTGTGGTCTGTGCCACTCTCCCACGCTCCCCGCAGAAGCACAGAGGCTGCCCTACTATGCCACCTACTGTCCCACAAGGCTGCTCATCCACTCCATGTGCACCAGCCACTACCTGGACATCTTCATTACCTTCATCATCTGCCTCAACGTGGTCACCATGTCCCTGGAGCACTACAACCAGCCTACAGTGAGTCCTGGGGTCACCATCTAGTCTAAGACCAACACTGGTGAGAACCAGCGTTAGGTGGATCCCACATCAGGGACGTCCATGAAGTCCCTCTATGATGGGCTTATGTCAGGCTCTGGTGGGGAGGAGGAGCAAGGCAGAGTTAGAAGCTTGAGATAAGAAGGTCACTCTTTCCAGGAGTGTGTGGGAGGTGGCATTTGTGAGCATGAGTAGCAGTGGCTATGGTCTGTTAACATGGACGCTGCAGGGCATGATGCCTGCTTCAGTCCTCATTGTAATGTCAATGTTGGGAGAACCTTGGTCTGAGTTTTCCAGATAAAGAAGTTGAGCCTCAGAGAGTAGGTAGGCAGCACAGCCAGAATTGGAACTTGAATTTGTGTTCAGAGTCTATTAGGGCCCCCACTGCCCACTGAGTATCCCACTGAGTTTGGGGATGACTTTCTGAGGGCAGGCCCATGGCAGGCAGCCTTGACGTGGATGTCAGAGGAGGGTGAGGGGCAAGGGCTTTCTGAAAAACTCCACTTGACAGAGTTGGCAGGAAAGGTGGAGCCAAGCCTCCAGGTGAGGAATTAGCATCTTATTTCAGTGGACAGAGGAGACTTTTATGAAGTGAAAAGGAAGGGAACCATGGCAGAGTGAACAGTAATTGTAGAATTTCCAAATTAATGTGAAGAAATGGGATTATCACAGTTTATAATTGCCAATCATTTGTCCTGTGCCCAGTACTGAAGAGCTCATTTAATTATCACAGCAACTTTCCGATAGGTGGGAGGGATTGTTTTCTTAAATTTTTAATTGAAGAAACTAAGTGTCAGAGAGGTCAAGCACTTTCCCAGGTCACAGACTGAATAAGGAGCAAGCGCTAAGCAATATTCAAATCTACACAGTCTGGTTAGGGGAACCTTAACAAACTACCCCATTCTGTCCCCAAAGAGGAGCAACTGGGTCAGGCCAGCACAAATAAGGAAATAACAGTGTGAAATGACTATCACACATGGACACATAAGGAATGAAAAGGGATAGAAATAAATCAAAAAGGAACAAAGCATTACACTAAATGTAAACGGACCAAACTCTCCCTTTAAAAGGCAGACGCCCTGGTTACAGGAAGGTTCTAGGGCAGGTCATAGTGCCAGACCATGCTTATCTTTGCCCCTGTAGTCCCTCGAGACAGCCCTCAAGTACTGCAACTACATGTTCACCACTGTCTTTGTGCTGGAGGCTGTGCTGAAGCTGGTGGCATTTGGCCTGAGGCGTTTCTTCAAGGACCGGTGAGTGGCTGGACCATACTAGGGCAGCAGGCTTGGGAAGAAGTCCTGATCTTTGAAGCAACCTGAAGGATCCGGTAACACCTGGCTGTTGATGGCAAAGGACTCCTAGATAATGACTAGGCCCCTGAACAGGAAGTAATCAAGTCTTACTGGATGAATACAGGCTGTCTCAGCTCATCTCCTGTGGGTTCTCTGTAACCTGAAGACAGAGCATGGTCTGCCTCATGCTAACTTTTCTTTTCAGATGAAGTAGCTGAGGCTTAGAGAGTTTGACAGACTGGTCAAATGCTACCCAAAGGGATTAGATAGTTTAGGATTTAGACTTAGAAGTCAAAATCCATGCCTCCTTCCCTACAGGAGGCCAGAGGTGTGTCTTCAGCTTTGTAGAAAGGGGAAAAGGGGTCAGACTCATTGACATAAGAGGGGATGGGTAGGAGGAAGGGTATTTACACATTCTGGTGGGCCCCACAGGAGTGCAAAGTACTGGGAGACTGCCTTCCACTCAGGTGTGTCTGAGCCATCGTGCTCCCTCCCTACCCCATTCCCACTCCTGCCTCAACTGCCCTGCTGTACAGATGGAACCAGCTGGACCTGGCCATTGTGCTCCTGTCCGTCATGGGCATTACACTGGAGGAGATTGAGATCAACGCAGCCCTGCCCATCAACCCCACCATCATTCGTATCATGCGTGTTCTGCGTATCGCCCGGGGTAAGTAGGAGACAGGACAGGGCAGGGACAAGCAGGAGCAGGAAGGGGACACCCCATCGTCTAGCGGGAGAGCATGTAGGAGCATGGGGAACATGGGGTCAAGAGGGGCTGTCTGCTGAGTAGGGCAGAGCAGGATCCAAAGGAATCCCGCCTGTCACCCACACACCCAGATGCCCACCTCCATGCTTGTGGACCTCGGCTTCCTCATGCCCATAATCTGTGTGGTCCAGTCTCAGGATGTACCACAGGTACCCAGTTCCAGCTTTGTATGCTACCTGGCAACTGTAGCAGAAACCCTTCTCTCATCCCAAAGTTTTTCCTCCTTTTTTCAAAATCTAATCGCCACAGAGATGGCTGGGTGTTCCTTGCTCTCCTGCCCCATTGCCTCTGTGTTCTAAGGAGGGAGAGATGTGCAGAAAATCTGTGGGTGGCACCAGAGTCTTTTTTAGCCCCAAGGGACAGGAAGGGTTGCGGACCCTTGTGCCAGCCATCTTTGCCACTTCACCGTTACTGACTTATTCATCCACCCACTTGTGTCTCTCTCACTCCGCTGTACATGTTTTGTGGTCTTGGGCCTTTCTGTACCCACTTTGTGTCCTGTTTTGTGCACATACCGGCTCACTCTGCAGCTATAGCCATGTTCTTTTACAAATAGTTATTTATGTACTTTCTGTAAATGGGCATTTGTCTGCATGTGTGTCTGCACACCAGAAGAAGGACATTGAGTCTCATAGGACTACAGTTATAGACAGTTGTGGGTGCTGGGAATAGAACTCAGGACCTCTGGAAGCGCAGCCGGTGTTCTTAACCACTGGGCCATCCTTCCAGACCCTGCCGCCACATTCTTCTGTGGCACTCAGGAGGGAACACTGGTCACATAACTGTATTCCCCCTCCCCTCCAAGTTCGCGCGCTTGCACGTACGTACTCGTTTGCACGCACCCATGGCCTGGCCTGAATGTCGCCCACAGTGTTGAAGCTGCTGAAGATGGCCACGGGAATGCGGGCCCTGCTGGACACGGTGGTACAGGCCCTGCCCCAGGTAAGAGCCACACCCCTTCTGGAGCCCTGCCTTAAGATGTAGGGTTCCTGGTGTGGGGCTGGGCCCTGGGGGATGCAGGTTTCAAATTTTCCTTATCCCCAGACCTGCCAAGACCCAGGGCAGAGTCTCTTCCCTGGGAAGTTGTTTGAATCTCTCCTGCTTCTCTTAGGGAGCTCACCGCATGGCCACCAGCATCCACTCCAATGTCCACCCTTATGAGGACTGTGAGGACCTATTAGGTGCTTTGGGGAGCCCCCGGCTGGTGGAGAGATAGACAGGTCAGGGTCCTGTGGGAAGAGGCCTGTGTCATACTCTAAGGAGGGACAAGGCACAGGTCACTCCCTGGGAAATCAGAGAAGGTGACTTTTGAGCTGGACCTAGAAAGGGGGCTCGGTGGGAAGATGTCATGTGATGGGTGGTGGGTTCCCATACGGCCTTCCAGGAGGGGACACGCAAGCCCCAGGCTGAGCCGGAGCACGCTATTTAGGTAGGAGTGTGTCCCTGGTCAGTGGAAGGTGAACTGGCTCACAGAGGGGGTCGTTTTTCATCCGCTGATGCTGTGCAGTGTTAGTGCCTGCCACCCCGCCCAGCCACGTCTGAGCGCTGTGCCGGGCCGAGCCTTGCACACATGCACGCGCACCGTGACTCACGTGGGGGGAGGGGGGACTTTATGCTTCATGAAAAAATCGAAGACACGCACTGAGCACGCAGGGAAAATGGAAGTAAAGTATTGGGGTCCACCACTGAGGACACCGGTAAATCCTGTTCTTGAGTTTGGTGTGGGCTTCCCACTCTTACAAGGTAAGCCCACCAGAGACTACCACACAGACACTCTTTTTTTATTTTTAAATTTTTTTTCACAAATTTTTTCATGATATATCCCAATTGAAGCCCCCTCCTTCAACTCCCTCCAGTCCCACCTTCCCTCCCTCTTTCCCCCTCTCCCCTTCCCCTAGTCCACTGAAAGGGGGAGTTTTCTACCATTGCCATCTGCCCACAGCTTGTTAAGTCTCATCAGGACTGCCTGGCTCCTCTTCCTCCAAGGCCTGGCACAAAAGGATCAATGGCCCAGCAGTGGCCATAAGTGGAGCAGTTAACCAGTGGGCTCAGGAGAGCAGGGATTGATATCAGTTGTTCAATTCCTGGCGTTTCTTTTGTCTTTCCTCAATGTTATTTCTGACCATGGTTAAACATTCTCTAATTACCTCTAACTGGTTGGCAATAGAAGCAACAGGTTTCTCCCATCGCCACATGGAGACATCCTTGTTCTGCTAAGGAACCTACCTGGGTTTCCAGATGAAAAACAGAACTTTCCAGATGGCCCGGGGCCTATGTTTGCTTGAGTACTGAGTTCCTTAAAAAAAAAAAAAATTTTTTTTTTTTTAATCTTTTAATCGCCCACAACTAGGGCTGAAGTTCCAACTGCAGTGGAGCCTAGGATGCCCGCCCCCACCAACACAGGAATGAGAATGGGGAAGGCTTGCCGTGCCCAAGGCAGCCCACCATCTAGGTTTAGGTGGGCCCTGCCCAGTCCTTCATTACGGGCAAACATTATGACATAGCTGAGGACTCAAAGGAATGCTGTCGCTTCCATTGCAAACAGTTCAGAAGGGGTACACTGGTTAAGCTATTCGTGCAAACAAGCCAAGCAGTGAGACATGATGGTATTTGCCTGGCTCTCGGCAGTTAGGAGGGGCCGGGGGGCTGTTGGCAAATCAGGCCTAGTGTTCAGTAGATTGGAGCCCCATTTCCTCCACCCACAGCCCCAGGGGTGTACTCCTTTGCAGCATCTTTCCCCAGTTGTCTCTGGATATGATATTTTACAAAAAATCCTCCCCCCCCCCCCGAAGATGAGTTGGTCTTAGTGAATTGTCTGGCTATGAGCTCCCCAGTTCTGGTCTTTCTTAGGTTCTGGTTCAAGGGGGTTTGGGGCTTTTCCCACAGGGAGACAAAGAAGACAAACTAGGATAGATAGAGTCACAGGGCCCGTGTCAGTCTTAGCTTTAGTGGGTTGGAGGACCTGGTGACAGCCTGTCTTTGTCCTTTGTGGCCTCCCTCCTCTGGGTATGGTGGAGTCATGGTATGGCACTGGCAACTTCCACCTCTGTAGGAGGGATGGGGATCACAGGGCGTGGGCTTGTCCATGTTGGCTCGAGGCTTTGGGTCAACAGGCTAGAACTTGTGGGCAGGCTCAGACATGTGCAAGGCCACCGACTCTTGAACCACCTGATGAATGGTCTCTGGGCTCTAAGGATTTGAGGAGGGAATGGTTAATAATCCTTATGAGTATCTCCTAGCTTAGGGAGGAGTGGGGAAGCTTTCCAACCACAGTTCCAAATGGAGTAAAATTTCAGTGTGGGGTACACCTAGCCTTTAGAAGGGCAAATGGCAGGAGGTTGCCCAATTGTTGCCAGTCTCAAGGATGTATTTAGTTAGAATTTCCTTCAAGGTCCTATCCATCCTTTTTACCTGCCCTGAGCCTTGTGGCCTATAGGCACATTGTAAGTTTCCAACCAACATTTAGGACCTTTACCAGATTTTGAGAAACTTTGGCTGTGAAGGCCACGCCATTGTCGAACCCCAAGGAGAAGGGCAATCCAAACTTAGGGATCTTCTTTTTCAGGAGTTTCTTGGTGACCACCGGGGCTGTCTCCACACACGTTGGATAGGCTTCCACCCATTCAGAGAGGGCATCTATGAAAACTTACAAATACTTATACCCATGAACATGGGTTTTATAAAATCTACTTTCCACTGTTCCCTGTAGGTGCTTCCTCAGGCACGGATTCTTTTGGGGCTCTTTTTCCTCCTTTGGATTTACTTGAGCACAGCCGTCCTTCTGAACACAGCATCTTTGCTAAGATTGTCTAGTTGAAGGGTGCAATGTCTGAGCCCGAGTAACTCAGCAGTTTTGGCGTCCCCCCTGGCGGGTGGCATTTGTTTGGTGACCATTTGCCTTCTGAAAGCAGCAGGGAGTACAGGTCTCCTGTCTGGCAAGAACCACCATTTACCTCCTGTTTGGCATCTTCCCTCTTTGCCTGTTTTGTTTCTTCCTGTGTGTAGTTTGGGCACTCAAGAAATTTTGGGTTCCAGCAGAGTAACCTAGATTTGGAGAGGCCCCACTGATTCTAAGGCCCCCTTCTGGGGACCAAATCAGCTGCCCTGTTCCCTTGGGCCTCTGGGGAATCTCCTTTTTGGCGCCCTTCACTGTGGACAATGGCCATTTTTTTTTTTTTTTTTTGACCTCCATTTGGCTTCTAGTTGGGCCAGGATTTCTTTGTTTTTGTCTTTCCTTTCTGGTCAAGGTGAGGAGTCTCCTTTTTTTTGATAGTGGGTCCCATGAGCATGGGCTGTGGCAAATGGCTTTGTCCTTCCCACAGTGAAGTGCCTGGGCTAACACCAGGAGCTTAGCCCTTTGTGCTGAAGCTCCTCAGCTGAGGGACTGGGCCCACAGTATTCCATCCAAGGTGACAACTGCACCCCAGCACACCTGATTCCATCTTGAGCAAAACTGCTCCCATCAGTGTACAGTACCTCTCTTGCTTCTCATAGCAGGACATCTGTTAGGTCAGGTCTGATGGATTGGGCCTCATCAGTCACTTCCAGACAGTCATGGAGGGGCTCTGTTGGGTTATCATCTGGCAGCAGGCTGGCTGGCTTATGGCTAAGATTTTTTTAAAAATCAGATACAAAGTTGGTCCAGAACTGCCTGATAATGTGTTATTTGGCCACTGGACATTCAGCTCTTTGGGGTTCCCCTCAGGAGAGTGTGGGGTGATTCCTGGCCTAAGTTAAGCTTGGCAGCTTTTCCCTGGCATGGCTGTAGAGATGACAAACTGACTAATAGGAAGAAACAGGATTAAGTCTTTTGTATAGGTAGGCTACTGGCTTCTTCTGGGGTCCTGGTGCCAGAACAATACCCTGGGCCTTGCTCACATACAAGGAGAAGGATTGGAGATGTCCAGGAGGGCTGGGGCATTTTCAGGGCCTCGGAAGTCTGTTGTTCAGAATCTGTCCATTGTAGTGGCTGGTTGCCACTATCGATAACTAGAAACAATGGCCTAACTTGCTTCATGATCTTGAGTGTTCATAAGCAGCAATACCAGAACCTTCACAGAAGTTCCTGCACTTATTTCTTTGTTTTAGGTGTTGGGGTCAGTAGGATTGCCAAGGTTTGGCTCTGGGAAAGTGTTCCTTTGCCTCCTTCGAACTTACACCCAAGTAGGTAACACAGGGTGCACATAGTTGGGTCTTCTTGGCTGAGACCCAGTACTCTAGGTTCTGTATTGTCTCCATCAGGTCCTCAGGGCCTATCTTACATTCCTCCTCTGTTTCTGAGTCTGTGAGGAGGTAACATACATACTGTGACAGGACACTCTTTGGATACCTCTGCCAAAAAGTCAGGAGATGTGCACCCAAGGCCTCCTCGAAGAGTGTGGCAGAGTTTCTGAACCCTTGTGACACCCCAGTCCAGATCAGTTGGCCAGTAACTCTCTCTCAGGATCAGTCCACTCAAAGGCAATAATGGGCTGGCTATAGGTGCCAATATGAGGCAGAGAAAGGCATCCTCTAAGCCCAGAACTGTATATACTCGTTTCTCCGGTAGCAGGGGACTCGGGAGGGTATAGGGTTTAGGAACTATGGGATGGATGGTCTCTAGATTTTTGTTCACCTCTCTGGGATCTTTCACAGGTCTGTAGTCCCAGGTGCCTGGTTTTGGGACCGGAAACGGGTTGTTCTAAGAGGAATGGCAGAGGATGAGGGTTCCTGCTTCCTGTGGCCATCCTGTTGATGTGTATATCAACCCCATTTGGCCTCCGGTCTCACAGGGTACTGTTTGACCCATACTCGGTAGCAGTGCTTAGTAACTGGATGACAGCTGGTGCTCCGTGTATGGCCAAGCCTGGTGGGTTATTCTCAGCCCCGACTCCTGGGTATTGCTGTTGCAAATTCTGCAGACATCCTAGCGTTTGAGCATGATTTTCAGGGACTAGGCCTGGTTGGAAGTGGTATTCCTCTGACAAGGGTTATGTCACGAGAACATAGGTTGGCAGCAACTGATAGAGACAGATGCAGAGACCCACAGCCAAACCTTAGGTGGAATTTGAGGAATCCCGTGGAAGGGGGGAAGATGGATTGTAGGAGCCGGGGGGGGGGGTCAAGGACACCCCAAGAAAACCCACAGGATCAACTAACCTGGGCCTACAGGGGCTCCCAGAGAGTGAGCCACCAACCAGGGAGCCTGCCTGGGACGGATGTAGGCCCATCTGTTACAGTTGTGGAGCTTGGTCTCCATGTGAGACTCCTAACAGTGGGAGCAGAGGCTGTCCCTGACTCTGTTGCCTGCTTTTAGGTCCCTTTCCTCCTACTGGGACTAGGAGGAGAGAAGGGAGGGGCAACTGTGGTCCTGATATGAAATATATATATATGTGTGTGTGTGTGTGTGTGTGTGTGTGTGTGTGTGTGTGTGTGTGATAGGGGCTAAAAGTAGTGGGTGGTGGTCCCCCAAAGGATGTGGGGGCACATAGTTTTTGTAATAAGTCTCTCCCAGTGAGGGGATAGGGACGGTCTGGCATGACTAAGGAGTGGGTCACAGTGTCCACCATCCCAGAGCTTATCCAGGAAGGGAGCAGTTTCAGTTTCAAAGGGAAAGTGACCTGGCTCTTCTCTGGTCTGGCTGGAAAGCAAGGGCGTTTGCTGGGAGAGATGTAATCCATGGGGAAGGAGGGTGTGTTCTAGGATGCCCAGGTGCCCAAACAGGAAGTAAGCGGAAGCCTGGGATCCAAAGGCGGGCCCTGAGCTTGTGACGTCGTGTCTCCTGCCTTGCCTTCCTCACTTGAGAATGAGGGTGCTGCAGTCTTTCAAAGCTTGGGGATGTCGGACAATTAAAGGTCATCAAGCTCTTAGCAGGACTTGGCTCACAGGAAGTGCACTAGCAGAGACTGCTACAAGTGGAATGAGGATGTGGCGCTGATCGGTGTGTGCCTGCCCTCCCAGACCCCTGAGCATCCCGGGTAGGCTCTGCAGGCCGGTGCTAAGTGGCGCAGGGTACACGGAGATATTGGGGGAAGCCCCAGGCTCAAGTAGGAGACCCATGACAGCAACTGAAATGGCATAAGTGTGTGCCAAGTGACATGTGGCTGTCTGGGAGGGCCTTGTCCCCTCGAAACTCTCTCAGCCTAAGTCCATGCTGTTAAATGGTGTATTCCGTGCTTTTCTCACTTGCTGCTAGGAAATACCCAGCAAAAGCGGTTTATGGAGGGAAGGGTCTGTTTCGGCTCACACTTGGAGGGTGCACAGTCCATCATGGTGGGGCATCAAGGCGTGGCAGCGGGAGCTGGAGACAGCCGCTCGCGCCGCGCCGCGCCTGCACCCAGGAAGCAGAGACAGCTCAACAGGGGTGTTCAGCTCACTTTCTCCTTTTTATTCAGCCCAGGCCCTCAGCCGCTCACATTTAGGCTGTCGTCTCCCCACCTCAGTTAACCCAGTCTGGATACGCTCTCACATTCACGCCCAGAGCCTTGTGTCCTGGATGAGCCTAGGTCCTTCCTGTCAAGTTGACGATCACTATAAACCGCCGCAGATGGATACTGTAAAATGGAACTTGGGCTCCTTCCCTCAGACCCTGCCCTATACAGATGGAGAAGGCAGCAGGGAGGGCTCCTCAGGGGAGGTGACCTGAAATGAGCTTTGAGAGTTGAACAGGAGGGTGTAACCATACAAGTACAAAACTCCTCCCCGAAGAGGGCCGGGACAGGCAGAGACCCAGCCGCCTGTCCACACTGGCTGGCGGTGCCCACTAAATGTGCCCGTGTAAAAGCTGGGTACATCCTTGCTGAAGAGGATGCCATTAATTAGCCAGGTACTGCAGTGCGGAGAGTCTGGGGAGGAAGCAGTCTGTGATCAGCGGAGTTTACAGTAATTACCTCAAACACCTCCCGACTCAATTCGCAGGAGCCTTCAGAGGGTCAGGAGGGACTTTTCTTTGTAGGGCAGGAACGCCTCCTAGCCTCATCCGTAGCTTGAGGTAAAGGCAGTCTCCCACTGATGCGTGGATTTGAACCGGGCTTGGAATCTGGGGCATTCTGTCCTAGAGGAGCCATGGGACGGGGGTGGTTGCATTTGCAGGAGGCTCCTGGGATTACAGGCGTGTGTGACTCCTCCACACGCCCTTGCACCGGCCTGTGGAGGCAAGTCTCACATCACCCAGTTGGGTCCCAGGCCACCAAAGGACGGCTTGCTGGGCTTGCGTCCCTGACCCATCGTCATTCTCTGTCCACCTACCCAAACGGGCACTTCAGCTCTCATTCTCTCCCTGAGCCTAGAGCTCGGGAATAGATGGTCAGTGAACTCCAGGGCTCCGCCAGGCTCTGCCCTCAGAAGCAGAGCACATGCGCACCGCTGTACCCAGCTTTTACACGGGCGATGGGGATCTGAAGCCAGGTCCTCCTGTTTGCACAAAAGGCACTTTCCCCACTGAATCACCTCCCACGACCCCCCCCTCCAAAAAAAAAGTAAGGAAGAAAATGATAGAAGACACTCAATTCTATCCCCACACACACGTGTGTACACTTAAACATATATCACCACCACATGAGCACGCTAACATGCACCACCCCCCCACACACACATGAAGCTATGTGCCAGCTCCCTCATAAGCTTCTGGAACAAGGGATGTACTTGTGACAGGCTTTAAGCATTCCGTTTTTATTTGGTGACCTGTGCTACATCAGTTTTGCCCTTCAGGAGATTATAAAGGGGGGGAGGGGACAGCAGACGTGGATACTCAGCCCGGTGTAATAATGCATCTGCCCCAAGCCTGGCCCTGCCTCCGTCCCCCTGGCTGGAGTCCTTCCCCTCTACCTTCCTGCCCCAGGGATCCCCTCCTCTTCCCTGCTCTCCCCAGGCCTCCCCCTTCTCCTCTTGCCTCCAGCCCCCAGCCCAGCCTGGCCCACCTCTCCCCACAGGTGGGCAACCTCGGCCTCCTCTTCATGCTGCTCTTCTTCATCTACGCGGCCCTGGGAGTGGAGCTCTTCGGAAAGCTGGGTGAGCCATGCTACCACCGGAGGCCATTGTGTGGGGAGAGACCTCAGGAGCAGGACTCCCCAGTCTTAGCACGGGGTTGTTTCTGAGGCCTGGCTCACGCATGTAGCATGTACGTGAGACCTGTGCAGTGGAGCCCTGGACTTCAACTGTCTGGTCTTCTGGGGTGCTCGCTTCCTCTGCTTCCAGCCACTGCCTGTCCCGAGTGTGGCCACCCCAATAATAGAGACCAGGGCAAGGGAGAGGGCAACAACTCCATATTGATCCCAGCCCTGCCTTTAAGATCAGTTCCAGCAATCAGGAGTTCCCTGAGGGGGCTGACTCTCACCCCACCGCCTCTCTCAGGAGCAGATTATGGAGAGAAAAGCCAGATGCTCCTGAGACTGAGCCCCCAGCCCGTGCTCCACTTCCTTGAGCCTCAGTCATCCCATCTGTGGGCTGGGCACAATCCACACGCACTGCTGAGGGTTGCAGGGGCTGTTCTGAGAGGATGCAGAGGGGTGTCAGCTCGGGTGTCATTGGTAGACAGGCTGACCCCCCTCTTCCCTACCCCCCAGTCTGCAATGATGAGAACCCATGTGAGGGCATGAGCCGGCACGCTACCTTCGAAAACTTCGGCATGGCCTTCCTCACGCTCTTCCAGGTCTCCACAGGCGACAACTGGAATGGGATCATGAAGGTATCTGTGGGCCAGCTGAGGGGGAAGTCAGGGAGTTCCACGTCCCGGGTGCGTGGTGGTCCCACGGATCCAGACATAGTGCCCTCTGCGCACTCACTATCCCGTTGTACACAGGAGGGGACCTGTTTGACTCCAGTGGGGGTGGAACTGTGGTCAGATCAGGCAGGGCCTTGTTGGGCTGACCTGGAAAGCATTAGTGAGTTCCTGGGGAACTCTTCTCTGTGTCTCTGAGAGGTGGGGTAAGCCACAGCAGTAAGTGAAGAGGGCCGGGGCAGACTAGACTAGAGTCCTAGGGATTTGGCCCGAAGCTGGAGCAAGCACAGAGCACCATAAACTAGATGGGCATGGAGGTAGCTCGGTCCCTGGAGGGGCGTTGATCTAGGCTCCATGTTGTGCGCGCATGTGCGCATGCGCGACCTCAGGTGACCTTGTGCGCCCTCCCTGCTTTGGAGGTGAGGTGTGTTGGCTGGGCGGGTACAGCGGGTGCCACTGACCCCACCGGCCTGTCCCTGTGGTAGGACACTTTGCGCGACTGCACCCATGATGAGCGCAGCTGCCTGAGCAGCCTGCAGTTCGTGTCACCACTGTACTTCGTGAGCTTCGTGCTCACGGCTCAGTTCGTGCTCATCAACGTGGTGGTGGCCGTGCTCATGAAGCATCTGGACGACAGCAACAAGGAGGCCCAGGAGGATGCGGAGATGGACGCCGAGATCGAGCTGGAGATGGCCCATGGCCTGGGCCCGAGTCCGGGCCCCTGTCCCTGCCCCTGTCCAGCCCCCAGGCTGCCCACTACTTCCCCGGGAGGCCCGGGCCGTGGATCAGGAGGGGCAGGTATTGGGGGCGACGCCGAGGGCCACCTGTGCCGGCACTGCTATTCTCCAGCCCAGGTGGGCAGGGGCTGAGGGGTGGGTGGGGCACAAAGGGCAGGAACCACGGGGCCACATGGGCAGCTGGGTTGGGAGATACCCTCCATCTTTTGGGGGTCCTTCTGTGTTCAGCTTCAAGATAGGGTGATCCTGTGATGAGAGGTTCAGTCCCAGGCTGTGGGCACAGAGAATGGGAGGGCAGCTCCGCCCTGCCCACCCCAGAGTCCAGGCACCCGGCCGATAATCCCACCTGTCCCCACCCTGCCCCGTCCGCCTAGGAGACCCTGTGGCTGGACAGCGTCTCTTTAATCATCAAGGACTCCTTGGAGGGGGAGCTGACCATCATTGACAACCTGTCCGGCTCCATCTTCCACCACTACTCCTCACCTGCCGGCTGTGACAAGTGTCACCACGACAAGCAAGAGGTACTGGCAACCTGGGAGGAGTTGGCTCCCTGGCAGTCACCAGGGACTGAGGTGCTGGGGGAAGCCGTGGCTTTAGGTTCCTAGAAGCAGACTGTTCCCAAAGCCCAAAGTGGTTTGGGGCATCAAGTTCCCTAAGGCCTCAGTACCCTTGGATATAATAGGTTCTTAGAAGTGGGAGTTGTTCCTCCTTGTGCTTCTGAAATAGGCAAGTGCCTTGTGTCCCTTCCAGGGCATTTTGTCCTTTCTGAAGCAGGAAGGAGTCATTGGTACCTGTCTGTTCTTCTCCGATGGCCCTGCCCCCAGAGTTTCTCAAAGTTTCTCCCAGGAGCCTTTTTCTGGCTTTCTCTCAGAGGCAGCTTGGCCTCATCCTGCTCAGGGTCCACCTCTCAGGCTGTTTGCAAGAGTTCCTGTATGCTCTCGCACGTGGGCTTCCGGGCCCAGCCCATGGCATGCTGAGATCAATGGCTGTGAGGTCATCCCCAGGAGCCTTGGGCAGGAGTTGATCATGTGGGCTGCTCAATTGTCCTGCCCCACGGCTGAGAGGGAGAGAGAGTCCTCAGGATGGCAGGCCTTGCAGACCCCCTTGCAGGGAATTTCAGGGCAAATAGCCCTGAGAAGAGTCACGCTCAGCCCCTCTCTATGGATACTTGGGCAGGGGCAAGTGGACAACAGAGCTCCATAGCTCACTGTACCGTGGCTACTTCTGTGTTCACACACCAAGGTGGGCCACCCAGACCTGGTTTCTAATGGGTGCCATAATGGGTCACCCAGGTCACCCAGGCCGGGATCCTACACAGAGTGGGCCCACCAACCCATGCCCAGCAGGCCTGTGAACCACTCTGACCACTGCCCCATGTCCTTTCAGGGACCTGTTGCTCAGCGCTCCAGGCCCAGGCTGCCCCATCCCAGCCCCAGGGTGACCCGAGGCCACCACCTCCCCCCGCAGGTGCAGCTGGCTGAGACAGAGGCCTTCTCCCTGAACTCAGACAGGTCCTCATCCATCCTGCTAGCGGATGACCTGAGTCTTGAGGACCCCACGGCCTGCCCACAGGGCCCCAAGGAGAGCAAGGTAATTGGCTAGGAGTCTTCTCACATTGCTCGCTGTTTGTGATGCCAGAGCACACAGTTTCTCTGGCCAGGTTGGCCTCAGGCAGGGTACAGTCTAGTTGATTGAGGCCACATCTTGTGGCAGACACAGATAGCCAGTCACAGGCTGGGGTAGTGTGAGCCCGTCAGCCTCAGAGTGGACATGGATCAGGTGGCTCTCAAGGATCTTGTAGAGCTGAGAAACTCTGGAAAGAGATGGCACAGCTCTCTGCTCCCCATGCTAGACCCCAGGCAGTAGCCAGAATGGAAGAACTACTCAAGTAAGAATGTGGAAACTGAATCATGACAAAGGGAGGGTCCCATCTAATGTTCTGCTCTAACTGCTTCACCAAGTTAGAGTTTTAGACACGACGCTGTCTCAAGGCCATTAGGGTCAGGAAGGGAGGGGGCAGGGGGAAACAGAGCTGCCTGGGGCATCCCAGAGGGCTTCTCAGAGGTGGGGGCTTTCCACTTGAGGATTGGAAAGTGGCCATTGCTGGTCAGGAGGAGGAGTTAAAGAGGAAGGGCTTCCTAGCTATACAGGGGCCCTGCCTCTGCCTCCCTCAGCTTACTGATCTTCTGCCTCCCTTGCCTGCAGGGTGAGCTGGAGCCTCCTGAGCCCATGCAGGCTGGAGACCTGGATGAGTGCTTTTACCCCTTTGCCAATGCGCCAGTGACTGCAGGCCCAGAGAGCCTGCTGTGCGAGATGGAGGCCATCCCATTCAATCCTGTCCAGTCCTGGCTCAAACATGAGAGCAGTCAAGGTGAGAGTCTACCAGCTCCCCACACCCCGATTCTAAGCATCTGATATGGGGGATGTGGTGGAGGGGGGGTTTCTCCCATAAAGAATCAAATGGGTGTGTGACAATTAGAGAAAGACTCAAGCCTGACACAGTAGTGATAAAAGACGTAGAGTCAATGAGCTAACTGTAGCTTTGAAGCCTGGGCTAAAGGAAGCTTCATGCTGAGCATCCTATGATCTGTGACGAAAAGGGAACTAGGTTGCCACACACAGCTCTTATTATCAAGCAGAAGGAGGGTTTACAGATTATCGTGTTAGGGTAGAGTATAATCTGAGGGGTGGCTACCCCCCAGATAGTCACATACAAGGTGACACCTGTCACCCAAAGACTAAAAGGATAAAAGGATCTCTACCCCAAACCTCCTTGAACAGCTGGTTTGTGCTTTGGGACACAGGCTTAAGGTAAGGGACTGAGCTGGCTTGCCTGTCACTTGGACTTCCTGAGGATGACAGGAATCTGGTTGGGGGAAAAGGGGGACAGCCTAACAGAAGAGTGACCCCTGGAGCCCTGCGCTCATCCCAAGATGTCTTCTGGGATGTCTGGGTGACTGGATTTCCATGACCCTCTGTCAAGCCAGGGGCCTCTCCCAAACATGATGGCTGGGGAGCCAGGACCCCAAATTTTCTCAAAAAATGGTCTCAAAACCTGAGCCCAGGGTCTGACAGCAGGCACATTCTGATAGAGTATTCAATTATACCTTCCTTCAGTAACTCTGCAGCACCCAGGAGGAATTTATCAGGATACAGCCTGCATGGCTGCCTTGGGCCCACTCCCACATTCCTTCTTCATTCTGTGACGCATAGAGGGGACCACAGGCAGAAGCAGCAGATGCTGGCCCTGGTGTACAAAAGTTCGTCCCGCCTCAGGCACCCCCAGGCTGGCCTTGTCCCTTTCTGTCCACAACAGGGCAGACCAGGCCCATCTGGAAGCCATCCCATCAGTCCAGGACCTAGCCCAGGACTGGCCAGTCCCCATGGGGTTGTCAGAGCCTGAGGGATGATGAGTCTTAGTGACTGAATACCTACTGTGTGCATGGTGCTGGGCTAGGTGCTCCGTGCCTGCTGTTAGCTCCACAGCACTCCTCTTGTGTGGCTTATATTCTCATCGCCATGACCAAACACCTGGTAAAAAGCAACTTAAGGAAGGGTTTATTTTGGCTCACAGTCTGAGGCTGCACAGTCCGTCGTGGTGGGGAGGGTGTGGCAACAGGGGCTTGAGGCAGCTGCTCACATTTACGTGTGCAGTCAGGAACAGAGCGAGATGAACGCTGATGCTCAGCTCACTTTCTCCTTCGTGTTCAGTCCAGGGTCTCGGTCCGTGGGACGGGGTTGCCCACTGTTAGGGCGGCTCTTCTAACTCTCAGCCCAATCTAGAAACTTCCTCACAGACATGCTCAGAGTACCTCTCCCTGGTGACCCTAGAGTTTGTCAAGTTGATAGCATGAACAATCCCATCCCCATGGGGGCAGGTGGCTGTCCCCATTTCCAGAGGAAGAAGGCCCGGGAGTCAGGTCTGGAGTCCGGTCTGCTGGGCTCCGGAAGCAGCGTTCCGTTCAGAGCCCATCCTTTCAGGAATCACACCAGAAGTGTTTCCTGCTCTCACAGCAAAGAAACTGATGCTTCAAGTTGGAGACTTGCCCACAGCCTCACAGCCAGTGTTAAGTAGCCCAAGTGAGGGCTGGTGCTCTGTGCCCGCCTCCTGGGCTGTCTCCAGTATCTCCTCTTGCTCCTCTGCAGTGCCCCCGAGCTCTTTCTCCACGGATGGTTCCAGCCCTCTCCTGCAGATGCCTGCTGAGTTCTTCCACCCTGCTGTGTCTGCCAGCCAGAAGGGGCAGGAAGCGGGCATGAGTGCAGGGACCCTGCCCAAGATTGCCCTTCAGGGCTCTTGGGCATCTCTGAGGTCTCCGAGTGTCAACTGCACCCTCTTGCGTCAGGTACAGGCATCTCCTGGGTTAGGAGTGTCCTGGAGCCGTGGGGGACTGGCGTGTGGAGGTGGCAGTGGGAGGCGAGCAGAGCACAGACAAGACAGTTGAGTCTGGGAAAGTTGGGGAGCTTCTAAGGCTCAAGAGGAGAGTTGACACCAAAGAGGAATACGAGCAAGACCAGTTCCTGAGGAGGACCCTGGTTGTCAAGGCAGCTGAAACAGGGGCCCTAGGTTAAAAGGAGGGAAAGGGGGGAGGGAAAGAAATGAGGGAGAGAAGGGGGGAGTTGCAGGAGGAGAGGAGAGACGGCAGAGCAATGGAGTACTGCAAATGTAAGCTGTGGGGAGATGGGGGCTTGGCTAGGAGAGCAAGTGAAGCTGCAGGCTTACCTAGGAGGGAGGATGGGAGCAGCGGGGGTGAGGCAGGGCTGTGGGGAGGCAAGTGGAGGAGCTTAGCAGCAACAGACAGTGCTGGAGATGTGGGTGGATGAGAGTAAGGCCATGCTTGATGGTGACATTGGGACTAAGAAGGATGGCTCAGGCTGTCCAGACAGGACAGGGAGTCTTCCTGAGGCATCTGAGAGACTCCAGAAATGCTGCTGTGGGGTTCTGGATATATTGCTAAGGGAGGCATCCTGGGTCCCATCACCAGACAGTCCGCTAAGGACTAATGAGCAGACCTGATTACCTGATTGTCCCGTTTTACCTCCCTGCAGGTCACTGTGAGTGACACGTCCCTGGATGCCAGCCCCAGCAGCTCAGCAGGCAGCCTGCAGACCACGCTGGAGGATAGCCTGACGCTGAGTGACAGTCCCCGGCGTGCCCTGGGGCCACCAGCCCAGGTGCCAGGGCCACGGGCTAGCCTGTCTCCAGCCACCCGGCGCCGCCTCAGTCTGCGCGGCCGTGGCCTGTTCAGTCTGCGTGGGCTGCGGGCCCATCAGCGAAGCCACAGCAGCGGTGGCTCCACCAGCCCTGGCTGCACCCACCATGACTCCATGGACCCCTCTGATGAGGAGGGCCGCGGGGGCGCAGGCGGCGGGGGCGCGAGCAGTGAGCACTCGGAGACCCTCAGCAGCCTGTCGCTCACGTCTCTCTTCTGCCCACCTCCTACGCTGCCTCCACCGGGCCTCACCCCAGCCAGGAAGTTCAGCAGTACCAGCAGCCTGGCCGCTGGACCTGGCCGTCCCGGCGGCGCCACCACTGTCTCAGCCCGCAGCCTGGCCAGGAGTCCCTCATGGGCTGCAGACCGCAGCAAGGACCCACCGGGCCAGGCTCGGCGGGCGTCGGGCTTGGGCTCCTCTGCCCCGGAGCCACACCCACCTCCTGGGGAGCTGGAGTCAGCTGATGCCGCCAGCAAGAGGAAGAGATGAGGGGCCGCAGGGGCTGCGGGGGGACCTGCCACCTGCTGTCCTTCCGCCTGCCCCATCTTGCCTTCTTTTACCTCAGGAGCCAGGGAGCAGACAGCAATACTTTGCCCACACTTGGGAGTGGCATAGGGCCCAGCCAGCGCCAGGCCACTGGGCAGGCGACTGAGGAGGGTCTGGGTTAGCCGAGGCTCAGATGTGGTCCCAACCGAAGCCCTTCCAAGCGCACATGCAGATATATATAGATATATATATATATACATTATATATAGAGAGACAGACATATATTTATTTATTTTTTTTACCGAGAGCTTATGAATTCCAGAAAGTGCTAATGTTGAGGGTGCAGGCCAGGGCCCAGACAGGGGTCTCGTCTGTCGGTTAGAACCCAGGCGTGCACAGCAGGGTGTTCCTGCTGGGGCACAAGAGCTGTAGTTTTGGGGTCTCCCTGAGTTGAGAGCAGCTTGGGAGGATGTTCAGGGCCCAGGAGACAGAAGAGAAGTAATTCAGGGTGCACTTTTTCCCCCCTTTAAAGAAGAGACCCTACGAAGTTCCCCCAGCCCCTTCCCCCACGTCAGGGTTTGAGTCTCGTCCCTCTGACTATCGTGCTGTTGTGAAGTCTTTTGTAGACACTCTTGACACACACTTTCTTAGGTAGCCGGCTAGATGTTCTCTTTAGAAAACCCGGGGGGAGGGAGGTTAGTCCTATTTCTTAGAGCAGGGTTGGGGGACACGGCAGTTCTGAGACTGGGCAGGCGGCTCAGGGCACAGGGGAAGCTTTGGCTTCTGTGGGCACTAACGGGGACGGTTCAGTCCCCCTGAGAGAGAGGACAGATGAAGGGGTCAGTGGTACCTGTTTGATCCACAGAGATGCTCAGTGTTTGGGGTTGACAGTTGCCATGGAATGTTCTGCCTTTGTCCCCTCCACAGGCCTCATATTGCATCGGTTCCTAGGGATATGATCACCCACCCTGAGCAGCACCGCCTACCCCAGTGGTGTTTGGGGGTAACAGCCAATCTGAAGGGGGCTGTTGAGTGCCTGCCTGAACCCTGGCTCCAGTCTTTCCCCACCCCAAATCTCTCAGTCTCCGGTCAGTTTCCCAGACATTCACCTCCCCTGCCTCCAGCTTACCCCTGAGGATGTCTCATTGTTTTAAGCTTCAGGCTGGGTCTCACTATGGTCGTGCTTCCTGAATGAGTTCAGGGCGGGTGTATTTTATTTGAATGGCTCTCGCGGGCTAAGCTCGAAAGCAGCTGGGTTCAAAATTAGTGTGAAGAAGAGGGTGGCACGCTGCTGCCGGCGGCCTGCTGACCAGGGCGGTAATGTGGGCGCTCACCTAGATCCCCAAGGGTTATGCAGGGCCCTGCTAAGAGCATGAGTGTGTCTTGTCCCTGATCCCAAATCCCGATTTCACAGAAGTGGGCTTCTAGCCAGGCTAGTGAACAGGAGCTGCATTTGCAGCCTTTGGGGTGTCCGTGCCTAGCACAGGGACCCTGGGGTCAGGGCAGTGTGAGGAAAGAAGAAATGTTGAGAGGCGCTTGCCTGTAAAGCCCTTTTTAGAGGCGAGGAGTAGAAAAGTGATTGTTAGACCCACTTTACACATAGGTAAACTGAGGCTCTGGATAAGTGAAGCAGCCTTTTAGCCCTGGCAGCAAAGAGCCCAGGTGAAAGGCCCTGGCATGGACACGTGGACTGTGTGCGTACAGCTGTGGTTGAAAGGAGAGTGACTCCAAGGGCTGGCTTCCGGGTTGGCTGTGCTGTAGTGAGGGCTGGGCCAGGCCCATGCTCTTCAGGCTTTATGGTGGTATTTGATAGCATCCAGTGCTTTCTGCTTTCTGGGGTCAGTGTTAATCATCTATCTCAGTCTTCAGGGTGCCCCTGTGTGTGTACGTGTGTATGCTGCTCTTCACAGCCAGCTTTCTCCCTGTCAAGGCTGGGCCCGGATGTTCAGGCCATCATACTTTTACACTGTGACCCCCCCCCCCCTGCCCCCAGAGCTAGAAGACATGGAAAATGGGCAAGCTTTAGGCAAGGGCTGTAGCTGGGCACAGCAGAGCATCCAGAGAGAATGAGTAGCCGAGCCTAGAGGTAAAGGCAACTTGACCCAGGGTGGGTTTTCCTAGGACTGATCACAGGTATTTGGTCTTGTGTCTGTGAGTGGGGATTCAGGGAACAGGGAGACTGTGCGCTCCTGGCAAGATGAACTCTAATGGGCAAGGACTGGGCATGTGGCTCCTCTTCAACACTATGGCTTGGGGCTGTGGCCTCAGGCCAAGCCTGTCCATCACCAAAGCACAAACTTCCTCAATCCACATGGGCCTGGCTGTGAGGAGAATGGGGAACCAGCTACCAATGCCCTAAAGCCGTTCATTTGCTTGGCTGTGGAGGGTACCACAACATCTGTAGAGAAGGGTCTGGAGCTAGCTAGGACCTGCCCTGTACTCACCCTTCTGCTTGTTCCCAGTATTTCTCCTGGAGTGCACAGCTCACACAGTCACCTTCAGCCCCTTTTGCTGCTCTGTGTAAGGGCTTGGGGTCTTAGAAACCGCTGTTTAGCCCAGACACACATACTTTTTTTTTTTTTTTTTTTTGGTCTTTGTGCAATAATCAGTGTCCCTGGCAGAGCCAGGGCTGAACTGGGGCCTGGGAGGAGGCAGAGGCCACCTTGTCCAGCAAGCCCCCAGCCCGGCTCTGCCTCTGCGACTCTCACTTTCGGTCACTGTACAGTTTCTACAGTGTGAACGAACTTCCCTCCTCGTTGCTGAAGGCGCTGGTCCCTGCAGGCCCAGATGGCCGAGCATAGAGAAACCAAGCCGCACAGCCAGCCACCGTTGTTTTGAATAAAACCCCAGAAACCTATTTAGGACTTTCTCCATGTCTCTGCTCTTCCTTCCCTGCAGGGTTGGGGTTGCGCTGTTTGTTTTCATCCTCAAGGGCAGACTGAAGATGTCTTCATACGCTCCAGCTGTGGGCTCTGAGGTTTGGGAGGATCCAGAGACCCTGTGGTAGGATCTTCTTATAGTCAGGGTCTGGGTGGCGCTTCAGGGCTGGGAATGAGGTAGGGGAAGGCCAAATCTGCTTTCCATGACACTAATTCCTGAATTCATACAACTGGTATTATCAGGACTCATGACTGCAAAGGACGAAAACTCAACTCAAATGGGCTTAAGAACAAAAGGTGAGGGCTGGAGAGATGCCTTGCTGTGAGAGTGCTTACTCTATGTCTCGGTCACTGATCTGCTGCTGCTTTGAAGAGACAGCATGGTCACGGCAACTCTCGTAAAGGAAAACATTTAACTGGGGCTGGCTTACAGTTTCAGAGGTTTAGTCCATTATCATCATGGTGGGAAGCATGGCAGCCTGCAGGCAGACACGGTGCTGGAGGTGGAGCTGTGAGTTCTGTGTCTGTACCCACAGGCAGCAGGAACAGAAAGACGCTGGGCCTGGCTTGGGTCTTCTGAAACCTCAAAGCCCACCCCCAGTGGTGCATTCCCTCTAACAAGGCCACACCTCCTAATCCTTCTCAAGTAGTGTCACTCACTGATGGCCAAGCATTCAAATATATGAGCCTATGGGGGCCATTCTTAGTCAAACCACCACACTGCTCTTGTAAACGCCTGGCATTCAGTTCCCAGCACTAATGTCAGGCAGCTCACAACTCCAGTTTCAGAGAACCAACAGCCTCCTCTGGACTGTGTGGATTCCTACATGCTTACGGTGCATGTAAACTCATGCTGACACACAAACATACCCCCCCACACACATGCACAAAACTTAAAAGAATAAGAGAGAAGAGGAGAAGTGAGAGGGAATGGGAAACAGAAGAAAATAATTTAGTGGTTCAAGTTTTTTGTTTTGTTTTATTTTTTTGAGACAGAGTTTTTCTATGTAGCCCTGGCTGTCCTGGAACTTAGCCAAGCTGTCCTGGAACTCAGAGACCTGCCTGCCTTTCCTTCCCAAGTGCTGGGATTAAAGGAGTGTTCCCAGATGCAGTGTTGGCTTCAGGTGTTGCTGGATCAAGGGTTCCAGCCAAGCCACTAGGACACAGTCTCTCTAACTCCTGATTCTGCTGCTTCTGTGTTTGTTTCTTCCCTGAGGTCACCAGCAGCCCCAGCCTCTAGCACCTCTCTCTGGGCAGCCTGGCAACACCCTAGGGTGAGATCCTCGTTCAGCCTTCCTCAGAGCTGAGGAAGATACACACCATGCCACTGTGCTGGTATTGGACAGGCCTGACGGTGCACTTACTCTGGGACCCAGGGCAGAGGTGGCTGCTGCACTGGAGCTGGGATGTAAGACCGGGGTTCTGCCCTCCTGATGAGCTCCTGGCAACAGTGGTTTTTCATCTTTACCTTCAGCAGGAGGCATGGGGCCCTCTGACAGACTGGTCATCTGGATGATGCTGGCTGGGACACAGGAGCAGCCAAGCTGGCAGGTAGAGGGCCACCTGTCTCTTTTGAACATTTCCTATCTCATCGCGTGTCCTTTCCTTAGGGGCTGAGCAAGGCCTGGGGCGGGGGGGGGGACACCAGGATGGAAGGCATGGCCTCTAGCGAGGCACCTCCTTCCCCGAGGAATCTGTAGGCAGGGGTGACCTGGGGCCAGGACTCCTGAGCTAGCTTATCTCATTAGCAGCCTTGGTCTGAGCACCCTCTCTGAATATCTGGAGTTCCCTATCCGTTGACCATGGCAGCTTTTGGAAACAGCAGAAACCAGTGCGTTGTGACAGGGTGAGGAGGTGAAGGCTGAGGTGTGTGACTGCAGTGCCACCCAGACCACCAGGCTCCCTCTCCAAACCTGTGAGGACATTGGAACCCCTTTAAAGGCCTTTCCTGCTTCGGGCATCTGCCTCCCTGCAGGGGCAGGGTTGATCTATGCGTAGGGAAATGAGTATTTGCCTGTTTGAGGATCTGTGCAGATATGTGGTGGCTGAGAGTGTGTTTCATATGTGCATGTGTGTGCAGACACTGACAACTGCTTCAGTGCCTCAGGTTAACAGCCCCCACTCCTGCTTGGTCCAGAGGGAGTCTTAGCCTCGTTTTACAGATGAAACAGAGCAAAGTACTCTTTAGAGCAGGCTGGGCCCTGAGTCCATGTATGCATTCTAGGAATGTGTGATTTGGGGCCAGTACCCTCCCTCCCCCACATCCAGAGCCTTGTTCCTGCGGTACCTACCTGGTATAGGTACCATGGCTGTGAGAGGCACCCAGCCACCCTTTCTCCAGCAGCTTCTCTCTTGGCCCATGACCGTGGACATGCTGACGACTCCTCTGGATGCTCCCCAGGGGCCGTCTGACCAGCCTCAGCTTTCCCCACCCCAACCCCAGCCCTCCTGGGCCCTCAGCTTCAGAAAGCCTACTCACTGGTGATGCTCCTGCCCCTCTGGCTATGACATTAATGCCTCCCTCCACCTCCTTGGATGTCAGCTGGTGGCCAAGCCAGCATCTCTCTGGAATAGCTTCCCCCCACTCACCACTGCCACCTACTCAGGCCCTAGTATCCCAGATGGCCTTGGGTTGTCACTCTACTGCCCTGCTCCGCCAGGTCTCCTGACTACCTTGCCTCTGACAGCCCGGCTCCTTCCCCTCTTGTCCCTGCCACCCTTCTTCCAGCTCCTCTCTCCCCTCTACCCGCTCTGCCCCTTGAGTTCCTGTGACTTCAAAGAAACCTCTCAGAGGAGCACAAGGCTTTCTGTTTCTTTGCTATCTGACTTGTATGGGTGTTACCAGGCCGCGATGGCACCGAGTACAGGGGATTCACTTCTCCTACAAAGCTGGGAGCCTCTGGAGTGCTTTGTTTCTGTGCCCTGGAGGGGCTCTGGGATGGGCTAGGGGAGAGTCTAGATGGCATGTGGATGGATGGATGGATGGATGGATGGATGGATGGATGGATGGAGCGACTAAGGGAGAAAGAATGAGCAGGGACAAAGGGATATGGCTGCCTGGCATAGCCAGCTTTAGGGCCGGTACTCCAGGTAGCAGGGATGGAGTGGAAGGGAGCCTGGGAAATTCATAGCTGGAGCAGTCCAGGGGCTGGGTGGAGAGTAGGCAGTAGCCAAAGGGAAGGTGAGAGCCAGGTGTGGGAGAGCCTGGCCAGGACTCTTCAGAGCCCTCATTTTGTTGCAACCCCAGAGTGGGGGTCGGGGACAGAGGATCACTGTGTGCTAGTGGCTGCACCGTCTCTCTCTCTCTATCCCTAATGCTCCTTTTGGCTCCATTTCACCTCCACGGCCTCCACTGTTTGACTTGCTCCCCAGCTTTGCAGGTGGCAGATCAGAACAGTGTCCAAGAGTATAGGGCCAGCCCCTTGAGCTGCCAGGGCGGTGGCACGCTCACTATCTCCCTGTCGCACATTTACTGGCCAGCGGTAGGAAAAGGGAGAGTGTGAGAGCAGCTGCAGCTGCGGGGCCACGGCAAAACCTCTGGTAGGTCCTGCCTTGGCTCCACATCCCAAGAGTACACACCCGGACTCAGCAAAGAGACTGACTGACAGGTGAGTGTGTCCTCACTAGCATTGTGGGGAGGGGACAGCTGACCTGAAGCCTTGGCAGGCTCAGTGTCTGGCTGAGTGTCCCAACTCTTCCTCTCCTACCCATTAGCAGTGGGATTAGAACCCAGTAGCTGCCAAGGACAGACTGGCTTAAAACAACAATCCCAGAACGTTTTAAGAGAGTGACAAACTTCAGCCATCAGCACTTTCCTTTTATTTAGACCTGAATTCATGAATTTTAACCACATAAACACAGGCGTGTTAGGTATTAATATATGTACCATTATGCAAAACCTGTGTTATGGCTGTAATGAAAATTAGATTCTGCCTCGGTGGTGGTGTTCCAAAAGGGCAGGCATCCTCTGGTTTCCAGCGCTGTGACCTCTGGCTGCTGTTGCCATGGTAATGGTGCTGCCACAGGACTGTGTGGCTGGTCTTCTGGGGTAGCGTAAGGGCAGACCTGTGTTCCAGCCCCGTTTGTCAACACTGTACCTCAAAACAGAGGGGGCCAGTGGCCAGTGTGAGAGGCTGGCGGGCAGACAGTAAGACAGTAGGGGTGCAGCTCCCCAGCCCCACGCTAGCTCCCTCTTCTCCTCTGACTAGGCAGCTCCTTCACAGAGGCGGTCTTGGCATCTTTCAGTAAATACTAGTTGAGTGCCTACTGTGTCTCAAACCTACGCTAGGCTCTGGGAGCTAGCAACAGGTGTCTGTGCTGGTGGAGCCTGCCATGTCAGAGGGAGGGTCTGATGCGGAGGGACAGCCTGCGTCTCGGCAGGGGGCAGATAATAGTTGGAAGCAGAAGCAGGGTCATCTTAGACGATGGGGCAGAGGAGTGACTGGCGGTCCATCTTTCTACCTGCATGGTCTGGGGGAAGGCAAGATGGGGTACCTGCTGGCGGAGAAGAAGAAAGACTTGGAAGGCAGCAGCCACCCCTTCAGACAAAGATCTCCTATTCCATATGAATTTCAAATAGGAGCCGGGGGTGAGCTCAGCCATAGAGTGCTTGCCAGGCATACTCAAGACCCCGGGTTCCAGCCTCGGTACTGGAAAGCAAAACAAGCAACACTCCAGTTAACCTCAGAGGATCCGTTTCTGCAAGTGTGTCTCATGCAGTCAGGGACACAGACTGACAAGCCGTTTGTTGTCCCCCCCCCCCCCCCGGTATTTGGATCTAACTGGCTGTCCTGTATTCTCTGCTGAGTCCAGGCAGCCTGTGAGAGAGCAGAAGTGACCCGACTAGGAACTGAGCTGCAGGGCTGGCCACGTCCCTCATGTGGCCCTTACCCCTGCCCAGGTCCTGTTGGAGGCAGCTTGTTGTCCTATTTCCCCTACAGGCCCCTTTCAGTCTGAGGTTAGGGGTACATGATGCCTA